ATTCCTTGGAATTCATCTTTTCTCTTACAAGGAGCCCTGGTGAGGTAGCAGGAATGTGTTGGGCTGCTAATTGCAGCATGGCGGGTGGGCACCACTAGTTGCTGGGGCAGGAGAAAGATGAGGTTCTCTCCTCCATGAAGAATTAGTCCTGGCAACCCCACACAGTCAGTTACCCTGGCCTGTGGGGTCACTGAGTTGGCACTGACTTGGTGAGTGTCTTCCTTAAGTCATGGGTTGCAAGTCTCCTCAGTCTGTGATGCGGGGTTGGTAACTCTGCCTTCTCTTGATCGCATGAGTAGCCATGATCTCTGGGGATACACTTTTGTCCTGCAGTCACCTCTTTCTGGTACACTCATCTCCCAGTCTCAGCCATATCCCCCTTTGTGTGGAGACCACTGCATCTGGGCTGACACCAGGGAAAGACGGGGACCCGTATAAGTAGAAGGGCGATTATTAGTACTGCTTTTTCCTGGCACTCCACTTGCCCAGGCCCATGCTGGCCGTAACTGCCTGAGCCAGCGTGGTGGGAGTCAAGCAGGGTTTGCTGAGGGAATACACAGTGACTAACAACAGTGCTTTTCCCATCACAGTATAAAGGGAAAAACACCTACTTGGAAAAGATTGATGGCTTCCGAGCTTATTACAAGCAGTGGCTGAAAGTGATGCCAGCCAAGGAAACTCCCCACCCCTGGGAGAAGTTCAGGACCAAACCCACGGGAGACCAGAGAGACCAAGGCCCAGGGACAGAGGCTGACTCAGACAGAGCCTAGACTCTGAAAGGAGGCACGAACATAGGCCTGGAGCTGGAAGGTTTTTTATGATTACAAATCACAGAAGATGCACACGAGGCCCTGCCCCTGGAGCCCCTGCTTCAGTGGATCTGGGTGGAGACGCTCCCAGGAAAGGGGCATGATGGAGGCCAATAAAATCCAAAGTCCAGGATGGAAAGGAGTCTGATTGGAGGGATCAGCCAGAGCAGCCCCGGCAGCCGCAATGAGTGCACTCGATGATCCGGCCCTGCAACAGAGATGCTATTCAGGGCCCCGTTCCCTCAAAGCTATAAACTGTTTTGGGACTCCAACCAGTTCCTCGCTCAAATAAAAATCAACAAAAGAAACTCCTACAGCAAAGCTGAGTGCAGCTCTGTCTAAAGGGGCCTGCAGCCTGCCCAGCACCACACTTAGTTTTGGAATAAAAAGTTCTGATATGTCCCCAAGGGTCATATGAAGGGGGAGGGTCTACTGGGGCTGGGGTGGGAGATGAGATAGGACTGATTCACCCTCCCAACTCTGAGGTGGCATCATCCTCCTGCCTACAGGTGAGAAAACAGCCTTTGGGGGAGGCTCAGTGATGTGCCTCAGGGTGGAGCTGAAATTGATACCCCAAAGCCCTGCGTAAGGGGCCTGACAGGGCAATCTTAGCTCCAGTGAACCGAGGTTGCAGAGAGCTAATGCCACACCAATCACATGGGGTGGGTGGGTGGTGGCTCACCACTTCAAGTTTGCTTTTGGGGACCCGGCAGATACAGTTGGTCCCAAAGTTGGTGTCTCGGGTCTGGATGCAGCGCAGGCAGCACAGGTTCTCATAGCCCTGCTTCTTCCATTTTGCGATCAGGTTTTTATCGGCGTAGCCCTCTTTGATGCAGTACTCGTAGAGCTCTGTCGGGAAGATGAGACGGCTAGTGTCACAAACCCCATCCCCTTCCTGAGAAAGCCTTCACTGCTGGGCCCACCCCTCCTCTCGTGTCAGTGCTCAGAAAAGCCATGCTGCTCTGGGCAGGGGGAGTAAGTAAGGACCCTGACTACGTGTCGCTGAAAACCAGCTGGGAAGGTCAGAAGCGAACCCCTTACCTCTGCTTATGGCTTTCCTCTTATAAAAGAGGTCAAAGATGTAGCGGGTTTTCTGGTGGTGGATCCTGAAGATGGGCCACAGGGACTCCACTTTTCTCTTTCCCTCGTGGGGCTCTGTTTCCGCTGGGGAGAAAAGGCAGGCCAGTTGTTTGGCTTGGAGAGAGTGGGGTAATAGCACTTCACAGCTGCTAGGGCGGCTATAATCAAGATAATGAACATTGACAAGGGATGACAGGATGTAGACACACTGGAACTCTGACTACTGTTGGTGGGGTCGTGAAACGGTACAGCTGCTTTGGGAAATAGCTTGGCAATTCTGCAAATTGTAGAACAGTTACCGGCAATTGTACCCCGAGGGGATGTTCCAAAAAGCTGAAAAAGAAAAGTTCACACCCACGGAATTGTACCCAGAGGGGATGTTCCAAAAAGCTGAAAAAGAAAAGTTCACACCCATGGATGAATAAATAAGATACAACCATACAAATATTTAAATAATAGTAATACACGACAATAGAAATGAATGCAGCATTGCAATATGCTACTCATGAAAGTAGCCCTGGTGGCACATAGTGGGTTATGTGTTAGGCTGCTGTTCAAACCCATCAGCCACTCCTCTGGAGAAAGACCAGGCTTTCTGCTCCTGTAAATACTTACACCATCGGATGCACCTGGGCAGTTCTACTCTGTCCTGTGAGTCAGAGTGGCTGGAAGGCAGTGAGTTGTTTGACAAGATGGAGGAGCCTTGGACTGCTAAGGCTATACAAAGAAAATAGTCCCCAAAGACTGCATTCTATGGCAAATGGCAAATCCAGACACCAGGATGACCACTGTAGGCATGCATACGGAGTGGCCATTGGTGGGGAAGTGGCTTCTCTTGGGGTTGACCACATGTTTCAAGACTGATTGTGGTTGTGGCTGCACAACTTTGAGTAGACTAAAAGAGGACTCAACCGGGCACTTCTGAAAGGTGAATTTTAAAGTATGTGATTTGCAGCTCATAAAATTACGTTAGCAAAGAATTTAGGCAAGTGATTTGAAAGTCATCTTTTTAAATTAGAAATGCCTTTAGCTAAGTGAACAGATGAAAAGAATCATGCTAAAAGAACTTCTATAACCCCCCTTGGCCTCTCTCCCATACCTATACCTACAGCAATGGACTTTTTGCAAGATAACCCCTGGCCTGTAGCATCTCACTCATCTTTAAGGGTACCTCTAGTTTCACTTCCCAGCCAAAAAGTCCTTTCTGAAACACAAAAAAAGGTAGGTCTAAATTTAGATCTGCAAAGGAAGGGCTGTAACCAGGTAACAGTGCACACCTACCTCAAGGCAATTCAACAGATGTGCTGAGTAGGACATACTGGAAATAAAGTATGAAACATATCCAAAGTAAGGTTCTCCCCCAGTCTCAAAAACAAACCCATCATCCCTTAAAGAAGGAAGAGGGTTTATTTTCAAGGGCTGGAAAAAAAATCTCTGCTACTCCAGCATTCCTAGTTCCCAAAACGACCTTGACTACTGCAGGTGTTGGGTATTGAAGTCTGAGAGAAAAAAAAAGGAGGTGGGTGGAGATGTGGCTTTGTCATTACAAATCAGCAACAAATGTTTAAAAAGAAGCTTTCAAAAGTACCTCAGGAATGATGCAGAGAACGCTGTGGATGAGGTCTCCCAAGGCAGCCTGCAACACTACCAACTGACCACAGGGGAGTGTGCAAACCCTAAATTGACACCCCCACCACCGAAAAGACACACACCACTTTGCTGAAGCCCTCTTAGTGTTCTCTCTAGTCCAGGTATTCACAGTACTACTCGGGGTTAATAAGAGGTCCCAAGTGGCACAAACCTTTTGCACCAATCTAAAGGTTAGTGGCTCCTACATGCTCAGAAGGAAGGTCTAGCGACAGACAGATTACATCCGTAAAAGCCAAGGACGGGTCTACTCTCAACATATATCACATGAGTCAGAATCAATATGACAGCAATGGATTTATTTGGTTTTTAAAAAGTGAATGGATGTGTCCATGTAGGAGCCACAAGGATACGCCCGCCACCTTTTCCAATTTCGACGTGCATTTTTGCCGGGACCCTGCCAACCCACACTCACCAACTCAACCCAACTCCCACGCTCACCTTCCCTCATCTTTTGATCCAATTCATCCAGTGTTGGTTCAATCAACTCCCAGCCATCTGGAGGAGCTTTCCGGCTTCTTTTGACTTTAGGCATTTTTATTCAAATATCTGGGGCTATGAAAAAAGAAAGGAATTGGCTCCCGAACCTCACATTCCCTGAAGCCTTTACCAGCTACCATGGGCAGTGTGAGGCAGTGGCTACAGAAAGGGCCCAGTATCCCAAACCTTGATGTTTAATTCTTGGCTCAGCTACTTTCCCATTGCTGTGGCCTAAAATCCCTAAACCTCGGTTTCCACATCTGTTAAATTGGCAATAAAAGAACTTAACGTTTTGAAGTCACTGTGAAGATTAAAATCATAATTTTATGTAAAATGTCTGGTGTCCAGGGAATACTTAAATGTTTGCTGTTAACCTTAATACCAACTACAAACCTGGCCCTGTGTTAGACGACATCGACAGGGCTTCTGTCCCTGAGGTGACAATCTAGCAGGTGACACAGCCAGTTCAAAGGGTAATTACAATGCAGTATGAGGAGGACTAGGACTAGGGGCGCTAGGAGGATGAGTATTAAAACTAAAGCACCTTAGAAACTGCTGGCCAAGGGCGTGATTGGCAGACCTCTGGATTCTCTGTTAAAAGCTTGGGTTCTAGTCCAGCTCACTGGGTGACTCAGAAGGTTACTTTCCCTCTCTGGTCCTCAGTTTCCTCATCTGTAAAAAGAGGACACATCAGCTGACTGCTGTACTTTTTAGATCTAACAAACATGCCACCAGCCCATGCAATGAGGCAGTCCAAATCTTAATAACAAAGTGCTTTTCAAATCACATTACATTTCCCTGCAGGTAAAGAAAATGTTGGCCAATTATCTTTCATCTTTAAGCATAACAGATTCATCACCCCCTAATTTATCCACTTCCTTCGGAAAGGTGATGGAGTTTACAGCCTCCTCTGACACTCTCTCCAGAGCAACCTTACCAGCGAGGCCTTAAACACCGAGGTAAAGTCAGGGTCGCATAGCGGCACACTGAGGTTACAGAAAAGCTACAGCCACTGAAAAAGGTCCCTTTTTCTATTACTCGGGGATCCTGGCCCAGGCTGGGAGTCGGTAGAGACCTCCCGAGGGTGGCAACAGGTGCGATGTAACCAGGTCAAAAAGGGCGAGGTGGCGGGCAGCCTAGTCCCTTAGAGATGCTCGCGGGCGGGCGGGCGGGCAGACGAGAAAGGCGCTCAGAAAGCGAGCGCGAGGACGTCACAACCGGGACTCCAGGGAAGACTCAGGAGGATGGCACTGGAAGCGGGCTTAGAACAAGCAAAATGTCGACAAAACAAATCTCAGGCCGAGAAAACCTCTTGAAAACCCTACTCGAAAACCTCAGCTCGGCCATCCCCTCAGCGAAATAAAGGCGAGGTCTTCTCCCAGGCTCACCCTCGGGGTTCTCGTCGCAACGGCCCGACCTCATCCCCGTGCAGATCGCCTCTGAGACCTCCAACCTCTGACCCAAACCGTTACCACAGCAGCCACACACTTACCCCAAACTCCGTTTCCTTCGACCGCCGCCACTCTACCGACTTCTCCACTAATGACAGACTACTGACGACTACACTACTCCACTGACTTCTCACGGGCCTTTTCAGGTGAGGTCCTCGCGGAACCCCTCCCCTAGCTGAGCGGAAGTTGCGTCATTCTGGGTGTCCACAGAGCTGCCTGCGGAGAATTCCGTAACCGCTGTTATCCTGGGCCCTCACTTCTAGGAAGGGTATGTCCTTTTAGTAAGGACACGTATTGTCCCTGGAAAAGTGACTGAAGGCACTGTGGGCCGGACAGCGCACGGGCGCTCCTAGATTCAGGCGGCACGCGGGACAGTCTCTAGCTGAGGGCCTCTGAGGGTTTCGTTCCTCGCGGCAGCGGCGGCGGCGGTAGCGGCGGCGCGCCGAGAGCGCTTGGCCGGGCGGAAAGAGTCGAGCCCGAGGAACTTCCGGTTCCGGTGTCAGTTCGAGGCGCCGCCGCAGGAGCCGCCGGAGCCGCGATGCCTAAAGGAGGTGAGGGGCGGGCGCGCGTGGACTGAGGGCTTCGGGGGAGCCGCCCGGGTCCCACTCCCGTTGTCCCCTCAGCCCGCGGGCACCTCGGAGGCTGGCGCAGAGGGCGGGCGTCTGCGCCGGCTGAGGGCCAGGGCAGGGCCTCGACGCCCAATTGTCCCGGTGGTGATACCGAGAGCCGTAGTGGCGCGGAGCCACTTCGCGGGTCTGAGAGAGCCTTCGGCGCTTGTTCTCCCCGACGTGGAAGGCAGGATCCGGAGCGCGTTTCCCCAGGCCGGGGAGGTGGGGGCGGGGGGGGGCGAAACGGGACGAGACGACTCCTCTCAGGTTTCCTCCCACCTCGAGGCTGGGTGAGGACTGAGTCACCGCGTCCCGTGTCTGATCGCCCTCCTGCCTCGCTCGTAAAACGTGGACAGAGCCGCAATCCGATGCGCCTTTGCGGGATGCTCCTGGGCCCGGCCAACTCCACGTGTGTCTTGGACCAGTCGCTGAGCCCTCCTGGGCAGTAGGGGAGTGCCGTCGCCAGGGTTCCACCGTGACCCCTCACTGCCTATGTTTGGGAACGGAGCCGTGGGGCATATGTTGTATACTGTCCTCTGTCCCCTGAGACTCGACCCGTGTTTGAATCCCAGCGGGGTTACTGGCCAACTTGGCGAGGGGGGGGGCGAAGGTGGTCTTGAACACAGCTCGTTTTCTTCGCAGAAACACTGAGTTCATGATTAGGCTGCGTTCAGGGGTGGGGTGGGTGTCTGAAAATGGTCGTGGGTGCTTGGCTGGCTGCTGGCGGGGAGCAGATGTTTGCTGTTTCGTGGCAGCTCAGGTGTCAGCTTGGTGGAAAGGCACTGGGCATGCTCGGTCCAGGAACATCTACCTGGGCCTTTCTCACACACCCAGATGGGTCTCTGGCACTGCTCCCAGGGACATGGAGGCTTACAGCTCCCCACTTAACCCAGATTACTGTTTAATGGGTAATTTGGGCAGAGACTGGGAAGTGCCATTGCAAACATTATAATAGGAATCCCTGGCTAGATGGATGCTTTGGTCTTTTGTCTTGTAAAAAGCTTTGCGTCTTCTTAGATATTGTCATGGTGACCCCATATGACAGAGTAGAACTGCCCCAGAAGGGTTTTCTGGGTAAATGGCCAGCCCTAGAGTCATTGACTAGGTTTGAATCACCAGCCTTTGGGTTAATAGTGACCCTCAAAGGCATTATAAAGAAGCCTACAAGTCACCAAACACCTTGGACCCACTCGTTTCCATTGTGCTAACAGGGCAGCGTTTGTAGAAAGCTTGCAGAACCGCTAGGGATGATCCCAATTAAGGGCCTTATCACACAACCTGGCAGCAAGAAGGGAGCCCACAGGAACCAGCTTTGAGGAGTTACAATTGCCAGGGAGCATGACGAGGGGGAGTGAGGGTTTTGGTGTTCTAGGCTGTGAATTTGTGCTCTCACAATAGGACTTCCACTAGCGTAGACTGACACACCCCTGGGAGGCCAGGTAGTCATTAAAAATGGGTGCTGTGTTCTGCAGTAGTCCAATTAGGGCTCTGCAGCTGCTCTTGAATGCAGGAGACGCCAGTGTCTCCACTACTGTCCCTGGAGGCTCCAGAAGCCAAGGCCATCTAATTACAGATTTTGGCACTGGGAACAGGAGCTCTGGTAATGTAGTGAATTATGAGTTGGGCTGCTAACTGCAAGGTCAGCAGTTCCAAACTACCAGTTACTCTGCTGGAGAAAGATGAGGCTTTCTACTTGTGTAAAGAGGTATTGTTTCAGACACCTACAGGTGCTGTTCTGCTCTGTCCTATAAGTCAAAATTGACCTAGTGGCAGTGAGTTTGGTTTGGTATTTGGTTCTGCTCTGAGGAGGAACTCCCTGGGAGTCAGCAGTGTCTCAGTGTCCAGAAGAGAGCTTATGGGGGTAGTGAGGTCACAGTTCCTCCAGCATCCTTTGGGGCCCACCAAGAGCATACCACCCTACTCAAGTAGGTTAGGCTATAGCTTCTAGTCTCTATTTTTTAATGTTTAGACCAGTATTTCCCAAAATGAGTGGTATCACCGCTGGGGGCCGCTGGACTGGTAGGGAAGGAAGTGCTGCAAAAGCAGATACTGCCTATACGTTTTACCCTGGATTATGGATTATAGTGTAAGCTTTTTATTGCTAAGGGGCACTGGGTAATTATTTTCAGAAGAGGGGTCGGTAGGCCAAATAAGTTTGGGAACCTCTGGTTAGAGGTAGTTCTGGCTGCCATCTCATCAGCCCCTGGTACCTGGTGACCCCACACACAGTAGAAGGAAACTCTACCTGGTCTTGCGCAATGTCCAGGGTCAAACCATTATGATCTATAGGGTTTTCACTGGCTGAATTTTTTGAAGCAGATCGCCAGCCCTTCCTTTCTAGTCTGCCTTAAGCTGCAAGCACCACTGAAACCCGCTGAGCGTTGTAGCAGCGTGCACGCCTCCATAAATAAACGGATGCTTGCTGCATATGGCACTGGCCAGGAATTCCACCTCTCACTGCCATCAGGTTGATTACAACTCATAACAACACTATAGAACAGAGTAGAATTGCCTTTTGTTACATTTCATGACACCTGCAGTGGATCAGTTATGGGGCCAGTGATGTACCCTCCCCTACCCCATTCATTAGAAAAACAATCATTAAAAATGATGCTTAATCTTCATGGTGCTTATCCAGTGCCAGGCACTGTCCTATCAACTATACCCAAATTAACTAGTCTGTTGGCATGACAGCCCTGAGAGGGAGAGGTCCAAGTGGGAAATTGAGAACTTTAGAGGTTAAGAACTCTGCCTGAGGCTGCAAACCTAGGAAGCAGGAGAGCAGGGCTTTGTGCCCTTGATTGGACTCCCAGCTCCTTGCTGCCCCTTTCTGCCTTGATCTCAGTCTCTGACCTGTAAGACAGGCAGGGGCAGCAGTGGCTCCTGCACCCTGTGTTGGATTCAGAATGTGCCCATGACGTGGACAGAGAAAGCATGGCACTAATCTCATTGACTGCATCAGCACCCATTCTCTCAGGGTTTTGCTGGTCGGCTCTGTGCTGTGCTGTGCTCCGCTCCCTCCCCATCATTTGGAGGCACAACAGAGATAAATAGCTTGCTGGAGGCCCGACCGACACAGACTTTATGCTTCATCTCCCCGCAAGACATTCCAGTTGACAAGCCACATGGAGTTTTGTAGATGGTAGCCAGAGTCATGGAGCTGGAGGAGCCATGTGGAGACCCACGCCAACACTAAGATGCTTTCACCACCACTGGATCCACAAGACTTTCCACCCACTGGCCTGTGATCTTCCTGCACTCAGTGCCATTGCATGTGCTGCATGAGTCTGAAGAGAAATTTATAGACCAGTGTTAAACACATGGGCTAATACTGGACTTACGGACTTGAACTGAACTGGGCTGGGATGTTTTCTTAATATACAATTACCATACTCTTTTGTATAAAGCTCTCTTATACACATGTGAGTGCCCATGAATTTGTTTCTTTAATTAACTCAGACTAACACACTATGGTACCTTGGGACTGGGGTACTAGAGAAACAAATTGTGAAGATGGAGAGTGGATGCTTGTGTGACCTCTACCTCAAGGTAGTTTTTCATTGGGTAGCCAGAGGTCAGACAATGGCAGTGTAGTGTACGGGTTGTTTTCTGGAAAGAATATAGGAAGTTAAAATTTTGATTATTTTCTTTGGTTATTCCTGTTTGAAATAGTGAAAATGAATGTGACTAATGTATATTTTGGGCCCAGAGAGCGAAATCGTCCCTTAAACGTTTTCTCTGAAACTATGCTGCTTAGTCAAAATGGCTGACAGAAAATGTAGTCAGAGGCCTAATCCCATGTTTTGTATCAGTAGAATAGATAATGATTAAGATAGGGAGATAAGGATTGTACTTGACTGCCTTAAGAATTGAGTTTAGGATCTGCTTCTACTTTGTTTATACTGATTTCTGCTTATTGTTGATGTAGTGATTGATAAAAATGGTTATTGGGAAATATGAAAATAGAAAGTGTATAAGCCCACTTGTCTTCAGACATTAAAATTGGAATTTTAAATGGGTTTAGGACTCGCCTTCAAAGAAGACTCTGAAAAGGATAAGCCCCACCCAAAGTCTTGAGTGCCTAATACAGTACATTCGAAGGTGAAGAGTCTTGCCTAGGGGGCTGTTAACATTGAGGGGGGCGAGGCAGGAACTCTTGGGATTTTTAAATTTTGAACTTGTGATTTGTGCTTGAGACTGGAAAATTGTGGAGCCATAAGAAACTAATCCTTTTCAGGACTGAATGTTAAAGGGTGCATGTGGGCAGGCTGAAATGTTGCTAAGTGACCATGTGGATCCACTCTACTTGTTGAGTGGAAGTGAGAGAAACGTAGCAATAAAGAGAGGGGTTGAGCCTGGCCACTGACACCCGTGGACCTGGTTCACAGGGACTGGAGGAGAAGAGAGTGGGTTGACTAGTCTGAAGCTCATGACCTAGCCCAAGAGGGCTAGAGTTGTTGAGAATTTGTGATGGGCCCCATGGTCTAAAGGCAAGGCAGCCAATGGGCATCCTGGGGAGGCTAAGTGAGGCAGCCCACATTGAGTTGACCAGAACACGACCAAATAAAGAGAAGATACTTGAGCCTGTGAACTGGTGCATGTTGCTGCTGACTTTATGGATGGCCTGTCCTCATTTGACTTTGCTTATGGATGCGAAATTCACAAGGTTCCACCTGGGATGAAGATTCTTCAAATCAAAGAATATGATTGTCTCCTCAGAGCACTGGGCTAATGTAAGTGGGCAGCATAGAAATTGGATACCCAAAATGGAACAGATAAAGGCATGAAGTGGCTGGCTTACGAACTTTTATAAGTGGGGGAATATATTCATAGGAATATGTTGTAGGTATTTACATAAGTATAGAGTACTTTTGTTCACTTACAGAATGTGGTGTTTAAATAAGGGTGGCACATTTTAAAATTACATGCATTTTAGTTTTATCCTGTTAGGTACAGATGTGATTGTATTATTGCTTGTTTGAAAATTATATATATGGCTAAAGAGTTGTGGGAAAGTGTCAGGTTGACAAGGGGTGGTCTGTGGTAGTTATATAATCTGGGGTCAATTTGAGACTATTACGAGCGAAGGGGTAGAGTTTAGCCTGTCAATCAGATTGCAATTTGATTACCTCGTTTGGAGGTACAATGGAGATAAATAGCTTGCTGGAGGCCAGACCGGCACAGATTCGCTCTGCTTCATCTCCCTGCAAGACATTCCTGTTGAAAAGCCACAGGGAGATATGTTGATGATAGCAACCCAAGCCTTGGAGCTCGAGGAGCCACGTAGAGACTCAACTAGTACTGGAGACTCAACTAGTACTGAGATGCTTCCACTGCCACTGGATTCATAAGACTTTCCACCCACTGTCCTGTGATCTTCCTGCATTCAGTGCTATTGCATATGCTGCGTGAGTGAAGAGGAATTTATAGACCAGTATCAGACACCTGGACTAATATTGGACATACAATTACTTTTTTATATAAAGCTCTCTTTTAATGAGTGTGAATTGTTTCTCTAGTCAACCCACACTAACACACTCGTGTTGTCCCTTCAGGCCCTATTTGTGGGGCTGTGTGTCCCACATACACTCTGGTCGTACATTAGGGCTGTCATCCATTGTGCTTGTATCCTTTTGTACATGGGGGTAGTATTGGGAGGGGGAGGTAAGGAGAGCAATCCCCATAGACCACCGTCTTCTGGAGGTCATAGAGCTGCCCCCTCCTAAAATGCTGATTCTTTTGCAGGGAGAAAGGGTGGCCATAAGGGCCGGGCAAGGCAGTACACGAGCCCTGAGGAGATCGACGCTCAGCTCCAGGCCGAGAAACAGAAGGCCAGGGTGAGTCCATGGCTGTCTACATCCCACCAATGGCCCAGGGTGGCTCTATCTCTAGCTCCCAGAAGACCAGGCAAGGACCACCCCTCTTAGGGTCAGGGAACCCAGAACCTCTAACACCAGGTCAAGAGCTACCTCTGATTGTACTAATTACAAAGAAGCATGTCACTGGGCTAATGTAAGTGTTCCTAATACTCTGTTCCCACCATTGTCAGGCCACAGGATGCACAAAAATGGTATGATAGAGGAGTCTGACCACTAGCTTCATAAGAAGGCATGAGAGTCTAGGCCAGCAGCCCAAGGCTAATACCTCTGAGAGGGAGGTCAGACATGCCTTCTTCCCCCACGACCCTTTTAGCAGTTCTAAGGCCAGACACTATTTCTCTGAGTTCCGTCGTTTGTTGCCATGGCCACACAAAAGTCACAGCGTATTTAGGATTATGAGGTCAGGGAAGTAAGAGTACAGTTCAAAGTCAGGAATCAACCAGGATACAGTTCTGTGGCCAAGACAGCTTCTCAGCAGTGCCCACAGGTAGGCCCCTTCCTGACCCTTAGCCTGTCTCTTGGCTCAGCCAGTCTCTACCCTGCTTAGGCAAACGTTGCAACGCTCTTCGGCTCCACTGCGAAGTGCCCAGAGGCACCCTACTCAGCCAGTGAACCTCCTGCCTGGTTAGGCAAACCTGGCTAATAAGTGAACCCCATTCCGCCAGCACATTTTCAGCTCAAAGTTCCTAAATCTTCTCACTTTGCTCTGTGGGTCACGAGTTGGGGGACATAGTTCTACCCTGTGCCTGGGGGCACCCACTACCCTAGCAAGTCTCTACTAGAAGGTACTCCAGTTTCTTGCTCAGTGGGCCGATGCCCATTATTTGTATGGTTGGGATCCATAACTGCCTGGGTAAGGGCCAGCTGGGTGGCAGAATGCTTATGTCCCAGACACCCAGAGAAAGGAGAGGCCACATCTCCTTGGTGGTTGGGAGGGCCTTAAGGATAAGGAGAGATGGGAGGCTTCTGGGGGAGGCAAGGAAGGTGGAGGGAAAGGGCCCGTCACAGGTGTCCACGAGGGCAGGTGGGGGTGGCCGGGCCACTGGCCGTGTGAGTGGGAAGGAGGGCTCATCCAGGAAAGCCTGTGTATCTTGGCACCTAGACTCCAGGAAGGGAATGGGCAGGTCACAGGAGCAGGCTGAGTTCTGCCATCCTTGGTCGTGGGCCGGCTGGCTGTGTCCAGTGCTGGGTGCTGAGTGAGCCACCTCAGCCCTAATCTGATCCCAGCCTTCCACAGTCGAAGGGTGGCAGTGGGGGAAGGGTCACAGTCTCGTGGGTTTCTTTTGCATTTTTGATTCTGCAGGTTGTGCATTTCTGAAACAGGAAGAAGAGGAACAAGAAGAGAGTGGAGATGGGGCTGCCAGTGACCCCAAAAAAGAGAAGAAATCTCTGGACTCGGACGAGAGTGAGGATGATGATGATGACTACCAGGTACTGAGACTTTGTCCATGGATGTCTCTTAAGGATGTGGTTGGCACCAGGCGTGACAAGGTCCTTGCTTCTAACAAATGGCCAGTAAACTTTCAGTAGTGTTGAGTGTTCTGCGGGAGCTGGGCTGTGATGTGCTTGGAGAAACGCTGGTGGGGTGAAGGGGTGCCGTTTAAGCTTTGATCTGAAAGACAAGGAAGGGGGGGACAGTGGGGTTCGGGGGAGTGTGTGAGGGGCTGTGGCCTAGTGGGTGAGGAGGAGAGTAGTGCAGGTGCAGGAAAAGAGGTTGGTGGGACCATTCCTGCAGGTGAAGTGAGAGGGAGGGCCTGGTTTTCATGTAATGTTTGCTTAATAATACTGTGTTTCCAGTGAAGGTTTATACAGCTGTGTAGGTTCCTGTTCAGTTTCTACACCAGCTGGTCAGCAGTGGTTACAGACTTGTTCTGTGAATAATGGGCGTCAGGGAACCTATGTGCAAGGGGCACCCACATAAAACACGAGTTCTTGGTGGAATTTGTGGTCCATGTGTCACAGTGTGTGTGAGTTCTTGTTCTTCGCTTTCGTCACCTGGTTTCCCTGCCTCTCTCTACATTTTCATCTGTTTTAAAGTCACAATTGACCAGTGATTTGAAAAAAGGTCGCCATTAGGCTTCTCTGTGACGAGTGGTAGGCAGAGTGCACTGGCCTGAGCAGACAGGGCTTAGTGGCTGGCACAAGGGAGGTGGCCGTGGCAGTGGAGGTGAGTGGACAGGTTCAAGCCATATTTTAGGGGTAGGCTTGTTGGGGTTTTCTGGGAAAGGTGTGAGGTTTGGTAGAAGAGGAATTGGGAGGAGGGCCTGGACAGGGCCAGGTTTGCAGCACTGACTGGTTGGCATAGTGGTGGAAGCACAGAGCTGGGTGCCCAGATGCGCTGTAGAGTGGTCAGGTTGACGGGCCTGTGTGGGAGTGTCACCCTGGATGCTTAGAAGGGACAGCCAGGGCTGGAAGGAAACTTTGAACAAATGTGCTAACCTCAAGAAAGTGTGTGGTCTTGCTCTCTCTTGAACTGGGGAGGTGGGTGATACTGCCTTCAGGTTCTTGGGCCTCTGGAAACCCATGTAGGCTCTGAGATTGGATGGCCCTCTCTAGCCAGCAGTTCTCATCCTGTGGGTCGAGACCCCTTTGGGGGGGGGGTGTCGAATGACCCTTTCACAGGGGTCACCCAATTCATGACAGTGATGAAGTAGCAGTGAAAATAATTTTATGATTTGGGGGTCCCCACATGAGGAATTGCATTAAAAGGTCATGGCATTAGGAAGGTAGTTGAGAACTACTGCTCTAGCCACTTCCTCTGCTCCTATCAGCCAAAATGGGTAGGGTTGGGATGGGCCGTGAGGGCACATGCCCTTGGCCTGGCATTCATTGTGTGCTTGGCTGTAGGCACAGGGTTTGGGGGGTGGGGGTGCCCTAGTCTGAGCTTATGAACCTGGCTTGGGTTCCCCTTGGGCAGGCTAGGCATTTCTGAACCACCTCTACCCTCTCTGACTCTGGGATCCTAGGCGGGTCCCCCCACCCCCCCCCCATCACACACAGTGTGCACTTTGGAGTCCCAGCACCTCCTGAGTGCTGTCCCACAGGCAGGAAGCAGAAGTGTGGGGTAGGGGTGGGGAGTGACCCAGGAGGGGGGGTGTCTCTGCAAAACCTAACCTCCAACGGCAGCATCTCGTCCCCATCCTAGCAAAAGCGAAAAGGCGTCGAAGGGCTCATCGACATCGAGAACCCCAACCGGGTGGCACAGACAACCAAAAAAGTCACGCAGCTGGATCTGGATGGGCCCAAGGAGCTTTCCAGGAGAGAACGGTAACTTGGGGGGCCGGCCCTCTGCCCAGGACCCTGCTGTGGGGCCTGCTTGTCCCATCCCCACTGCCCTGAGGAGCTTCCTTCCCCAGCAGAACGTGAGCTTGAGCATTGCTCTTGACCCAGCTGCTCCCTTCCTAAGCAGCCCGCCGCTGCCTGGGCTGATTGGTCCTGACTGGCAGCCCCCTGCACTTTGTGGCCACAGGGACAGGGCTCTGTGAGGCCTCTTGAGTCCATGCAAAGGCAGGGCTGATGTCTTGCCAGTGCTTGTGTGAGGCTGAGGCCAAGAATTGAGCGCTGTTTGAGGTTTGTTCCCCAACATGTAGTGTCCTGACCTCTTGACCTGGGACCTCGGGTGATTGTTGGTGTGGGTCCTTGGGAAGAGCAGCCAGCTTCCCCTTCTTTCTTTGAGGACTGCTAGGATTTACCCCACATCCCAGCTGGGCTGCTGTGGCACCCAGGGTTGTCTGGAGAACTGTCTATGGACCTTCTGGTAGCTTCTCTCTTGGGCTGAAACTCAGCCTGGACTGGTGCTGGCCTTCCCCACACAGAAGAGCTTTATCGGCCACTGTCAGGGACACATCACTGCCCTGAGGGCGTCTCATTGTCCTCCCCAGTGAGGAGTGGTCCTTTGTACCTTCAGGCAGCCTGGTGTAGAGCTCTGGGGGCCTGGCTCAGCGGTACCCAACTCTCGACACCCCCCACCCCATTAGTGAATCTTCTGGGCAGGTGGGTGCTGTCTTATCTGTGGCACTCTCAGATGACATCTGCCTTATCCATGCCTTGGTAGCTGGGGTCTCCTCTCCCAGCCAGGCTCAAGAGCCTGGTTTCTTGTTTTGCCTGAGCCCTTGGAGGCTACTGTGTGGCTAGCTTCCCCCTGCCCCCTTTCCCCCCAGCCTTGGCTTTTCAGAGTCTGAGTAGTGGGCCTTCTAGCCTCATACCCCATAAGTCACCTTCACCCAGGATTCCACTTCCCTCACCCCAGTGGCCAGTGGTTTGATCAGCAACAGAGTCACCCTGGCCCAGTCCAGCCTTTGTCCCCTATTCCACCCCACCCCCACCTCTCCCCGCCCTTGCCAAGAGCCAGCCTCTGGGCTGTCTGAGCTGCTCTGGCTGATAAAGGGTCTGCCTCTATGACTGTTTTTACAAAGGCAGACTGCTTCATCTTTCTCCTACAGAACTGCTGGTGGGTTCGAAACACCGACCTTTCAGTTAACACCCTACAGGTCCCTTGACCTGCAATTGGGTGTCTTGTTTTTCTCCTTGCCTGTGGCCTGGAGCTGCTTATTCCTCTCTCCTTCCCTTGGCCTTCATCTTTTTGGCATCACCCTGGATACAGCTCACTGTCTTGGTCCTAGTCAGGAAGACCCTGAGTGGTGTCCCCCTAGCCAGAGCTTGTCCTTAAATAGGCTGGGGCTCTGAAAGCCATCACAGGGTCCAGCTCCCTATCCTCTGCACACACCACGTGCCCCTCACAGCCCCTCCTCTTAGGCACGACTGCTAGCAGGGCTGGGCTTGCCACTGCTTGTTTGGGTGGTGGTGGGGCAGCACAGGAGCCAGGGCCCCTCCCCACTTTGGCACTAAGCCTGAGTCCTTGACCTTTGTCCTGGCTCTTATGCCCCACCCCGAGACATGGCAAAGCTGTTCCCCACAACATTGTCCATCCCCCTGACCCCCAGAGAAGAGATTGAGAAGCAGAAAGCAAAAGAGCGTTACATGAAGATGCACATGGCAGGAAAGACAGAGCGGGCCAAGGCTGACCTGGCCCGGCTGGCCATCATCCGGAAGCAGCGTGAGGAGGCAGCCCGGAAAAAGGAGGAAGAGCGGAAAGGTAGGTCTCAAGTGTTGTTCCACTCCTTCTCTGGTGGCTTGTGACCTTAGAGATGTTTGGGTTCCCCAATGTCCAGGGGGTACGCTTTCCCTGTAGGCCAGGGGAAGGGTTAGGGCATCCTTTCCACACGTAGAGCTGGGAACCCTGGGAGCTCCTGCTCGCCTGCCTCCTATCACCGGGGTGACAGGACACTGAGGCCCAGAAACAGCTCTGTGCTGTCCACCTGGAGGTGTCGGCCTGCTCCGCTCCATTAGTGTGGCCTCACTGGCCCCAGCAGGAGAGGATGTCACATGTGGTGCACCTCAGAGGATAGAGCCCCAGGGAGAGGTTAGGACGATGGGGTTGTGTGCCAAGGAGGGGGCAATGAAGAAATGCTGTTTGTCCAGTGGCTAGGGCCGGAGGGGGCAGCGGCCGGTACATTTGTACAGCACCAGGTATGTGGACAAAGCCACAGTTGGGGACACCTGTGGTCTTGTTCCTTGTGCTCGCTGAGGCGGCTATTGGCAGACTTAGCAGACTAAGGGGGTCCTGGTGGTACAGTGGTTAAGTGCTGAGCTGCCTGCCTTTCCTTGGCAGACAGATGTCACCATCTGCTTTCACCAAGATTGGAGCCGGCTTTGGGACCCCCTACAGGGTGGTCTACTCCATCCTACAGGGTCTTTGAGTGTTAGGGTGGATTTGATCCACTGCAGGCGGTGCTGTGGTTCTGAGTGGCTGCTGTTAACTCTCCTCTTCCCCTCAGCGAAAGACGATGCGACTTTGTCGGGAAAACGAATGCAGTCGCTGTCCCTCAACAAGTAAAGGTGGCTGTGGGGAGAGGAGATCCGGGGCCAGCCAGCAGCCAGGACCTCATTGTGCGGCCTGCCCTGTGCCCCGGTGCCGCTGCTGCAGCCCCTCACGGCTAGGAGTCCCCAGTGGACGGGGCCTCTTCTTCATCTTGGCACAGAAATTGTTTGGGGGGATGGTGGGAGGGCTGGGCGGGAGCGGCTGCTATCTTCCAGACAGAAAGATGCAGGGAAGCATTGCTATGTAGCCATTGGAATGTTTTGGGGAGTTCAGAGCCTGGGGGAGGGGGTCACAGCTAGGTGGGGTCCAAGGAGCTTTTATTCCTAGGTAGATTGCACGGGAGGCAGCTGTGCTTAGGGCACTCCTACCAGTTTGTGACAGTCAACCCCAGACTGCCGCCTGGGTGCTTGCTCACAAGAAGAGGCTGTCCTCTGAGGCCTGAGGGTCCTGGCTCCTCCCTGGCCAGTGTTCCAACAGGCCTTTCCCCCACCCTGCCCTGCCTCGCCCCTTGCCCACCGGCCAGGATCCACTTTTAACCTGACCCCTCCATCATTTCAAGGAACCTGTTTACTGTGTGTCACCCAGGGGAGACAAGCTCCGAAAATCCAACTTGTGTATCTGGCCGATTAAACTTGACATTATCTTAACCTTCGCTTCATGTTTGTTGTTGGGCCCTGCAGAGGCTGCAGCCGCTCTCACGCAGGGTCCCCTTCTTAAGCTTCTAGGCACGTACCCAGCTTGGGTCCAGGGACGAATGAAAGGTGCTGGGAGAGACTGCAAGGACCGGCCTCTGCTCGCCTTTACCAGGTAGAGATCTGGGTCCAGAAGGGCCCATGACCTGTCTAGTTTCACAGCCGCTCTCCCTGTGGGCCCTAAGTAAGGTCCTTCCTGGGAGTGCTGGAGGAAGCACCCTCAAAGCTGATGGAGTCAGAGCTACCACCTCAGTCCCTAGAAATGAGGTTTCCCATTGGGTTTGACTCTTCTCTTTGGCAGTAAGCAAAGCTAAGCTGCCTGTAACCATGGGAACAACAGATGGACTGACAGACAGACAGACAGGGCTGCAGCTGCCTTTATTACTTGGGCATTAAGCAGTTCATAGCCAGCATAGTGCCGTTGGGGCATTCTTTACAACGGAAAGCATTTCTCCAAAGGTACATATTTCTTCAACAGACAAAAGCACCACCACCCCCCCCCAGCTCCTGAGGGAGCACCCTAGGAACTTCAGCAAAACGAGGGGCCTTACTGCCCAGCGTGCACCTCCTCAGGTCATTTGATCTTGAGGTCCTTCAGGGCTGATTCCAGGCTCTGGAAGTAGATGGGCAGGGTGTACAGGGTGTATGGGCTGGCTCTCACTGTCTTGGCAACCCACATCCATGTGCTGCAACCGCCACCCCCACCCCCACCCCAAGGAGGGGCAAAGGCAGCCAGCCAGGTAGGGCCTCACCTTGACGTCCCAGATGCTCATGCCACCGTCCATGCCAGTTGTACAGAATTGTGCACACTGGGCCTTCCCCCCTCTGAGTACTGAGATTTGGCTGCAGAGAGGATGCAGGCTTGCTTATCCCTGCCCATCTGCCCCCAGGATCAGCCACCAGGCCTGGAAGGTGGGCCCACCTGCAGGTCCAGGAGGGTGCAGCAGCACTCCAGGGAGGGCTGGGGCTGTGTCCTGGACTGTGCAGGTGGAGCACGGAGGGAGCAGGGCCAGTTCTCAAGGGCCCGGAACTCTAGCCAGGTATCTAGAACTCAGCCTGAACAAGCCCAGGCTGCCTGGTGCTGCTGTAGGGGAGTATTGGGCTCCTAGCTTCAAGGTCAGTGGTTCAAACCTATTAGCACCAGCTGCTGCTTGGGAAGATGAGGAAGCTGGCTGTTCCTGGGGAGATTTGGTTTCAGGGAACCCTTTATAGCAGTGGTTCTCAACCTTCCTAATGCCGTGACCCTTTAATACAATTCCTCATGTTGTGGTGACTTCCCCCCCAACCATAAAATTATTTTTGTTGCTACTTCATCACTTTCATTTTACTACTGTTTTGAACCGGGCGACCCCTGTGAAAGGGTCGTTTAACCCACAGGTTGAGAACCGCTGCTTTATAAGGTCACTCTGAGTCAGAACCAAACGATGGGAGTGGGTTGGCTTTGTAGAGGCTTTGGGCTGGGCGAGCCTCACTTCTTTCTCTTCTCACTTAGGGCGCACCCTGCCCCATACAGAGCCCCTCCAGCCCCGCACCTGGGCCCCACGCAGAGACTGACTGCCCCACTCCCTCCTGGCACTCTAGAGACCAAGGGCAGTGGGTGGGCCAATGTTGGGATGAGGCCCCCCTTCCCCTGACTCACCTGACACTGTTCTTGTGCACTGAATCGATCCCGGCACCTGAGACGGCACCGCCCTCTGTGCTGGCCTTCTTGTCCAGGTTCTGGAAGCGCTCTCGGGCCGTTAGGCCACGCTGGGAGCTCTGCTTGGGCACGTCCAGCCGTCCACCGAAGCTCAGCGTTCCTACTGTGCTGTCGTAGGTGAACAGCACTGGGAAGCAGTCGTGACCCTGTGGCAGGACAGGTGCCATTAGGGCTCAGACAGGCAGAGGGGGCCCAGCACCCAGGGGGGCAGATGAGGGGCACAGATGGGTGCGGAGGGGCCAGAGTCTGGTTGAGAAAGGGTGTGGACTCTGGGATTCCCCTGTGGGCCCAGGCTCCTTCATGCCCTCCCTACCCTGCTCCACCTGTTCTAGGAGATCCTCAGGTGGGCACTCTTTAGGTAAAGTGACACCCCCAGTGTTTGCTGACAGGTGAAAATGGACTGACTCAGTAGCTGTGGGCAGGAGGGAGGGATGGGAGTTGCCAGTGATGATCACCCCAAATTTCCAGGCCCCCTTTCTGGGCACGGGTACAACTACACCTTTCTACACCTCCCTCTGAGTTCACATGCCTGGACGCGTCTGTTCAGGCCAGTAGTGTGGGAGCAGAAATGTGGGAGATAAAGCTGCCCTCTGCTCTAGCCAAGCCCCCTGCAGCCCTGGACACAGTGGGAGCTGGAAAGGGGGGCTTCTTTTACCGTGGCAAACCTGCCTACCCCTGATGGGTCAGGAGTCATCATGGGTGGTCAAGGAGCTGCATGGATGGATGGGGTGGGGGAGAGACGGGCAGGTGTCAGTGGGTGACTGGCAGGAAAGAGCCAGCAGAGGATGAACAGGTGGGGAGCTTCGTGCATATCTCCCCAGCTCCCTTCACCCCGACCATGGGCCCCACCCTCCCCTTACCGCTGCCACCAGACTGTTCTCTGTGATGAAGGTGACGGCCAGCAGGGGCAGTGTTTCAGAGGCCAGGGTGGCGACGCTGTGGGGAAAGAGACGTCTGCCCCTTAGTCCACCACTCCGGCTTGATGGTCCCTTCCCTGCCCACCTGGGAGGCCTCCACTCACGCCATCTTCTTGTCGGCATTGGCCAGGCACACGGTGCTGTCGTGGCTGACCCAGGCCACTCGGCTCCCACTTGCTGAGAAACAGACGCCGTGTACCCAGCCGCAGCTGCTGCTAGACTCAAACATCAGCTCCCCAAAGGGCATCTTGGAGCCCCATGGGGTGGGTGCCGGCCGCTCCTCCACCTCCTTAATGTAGGCGGAGAAGATCCTGTGGAGAGGGGCCGCTGAGAGCCTGATGAGGCAGCACAGAGCACTGCACTGGGAGTCATGGTCCCCTTTGTGCAAGGGGGCAGTGGGGATTGTCTCCCAGCTCAGTCCTGAGGTCTCACTTGAGGGCTGGCCAGGGGGTTCCAGGGCCGTCATGCTGGCCCTTGCCTTCCAGAGCAAGCCTCCATCAGGCACAGCACCCACCAGCCAACTTTAGAGGGCCCTTTTCTGTGCTCAGGGTCCCTGAGGGGGCTGCTGGTGCCTGATGCTGCCCTGTTGCCCAGGTGGAGATCCAAGTACCCAGGGGTGTCCCCCATCTGCTGGCTGCTGGGAGCCTGACAGTTCTTGGGGTTTGATGGCTGAAGGGGACTCAATAGGTGCCCAGGTGAATAACTAGCAACTGGAGGCTCCACATTGACGAATAGTCATTCACCCTTGAGTATAAAATACGAGGATAGCACACCCACTCACTTCTCTTTAGACAGGAACCGAAGGGCTGGGATTCAAACAAGGCAAGAGAGGAGGGCCTGAGAAGGGAAATTTCTGCAACAAGGTTCATCCTCCTAAGACTGCCCTGTGGGCTGGAGACAAGACTCGAAGATGGTCCCTCTTTCAAACACAGGGCCAGAGGCCCTGCTCTCGCTGCTGCTGAGCTGGTGTGGAAGGCAGGACTTAGGGCTCCCAAGACAGGGTCGTGCCCCCCCACCTCGGCCCTGCCCGCCCCTGTGGTGGTATCAGCGTGCCACCAGCCTCACCTGCACTTAAAGTCGCAGGAGCCGGCAGCCAGGAGCACATTGTTGGGGTGCCAGTCCAGGCTGAGGACGGTGGAGCGGATGGGCTTCTTGATGTGTTTGCACACCCACCTGGATACAGGGGTAGGGTGGGGACATACACAGGTGGGTATTATCAATGCCCAGGGCCCCACAGACCACCCATGGCCCACTCCCTAGCCTGTGCTCGGTCCCCCTTGTGGGTGGGAACTACCCCTTTGTCTCCCTTGGAATCCCTGGCTGGTGCTACTGGTTCAAGTCCATGCCAGGGTGCCTTGCAAGAAAGGCCTGGCATTCTACCTGGGGCAGATCAGCCATGGGAAACCCTGGGATGTAGTTCTCTGACACATGCTGACCCCAAGGCAACAGGTTTACTATTTGGCTCCTTTTAAGCCTCAAGGCAACTGGGCACAAACAACCACTGACTAGGTCACACAGCTACTAAACTGGCTATGCTGATTAGAACACAGGTCTCAGACTCTGACCTCAGTGACACGGAGGAGAAGTGGCTGGGAACCTGTGAGGGGCCCTGGAGTCAGGCTGAGCCTTGGGCAGTGACTTTGCCTTGGCCTCAGTCCACAGTGCTGTGCGGGGCCTGGCGGCCATGCTGGAAGGCCCTCTGGAACCGTGGAGGTCCCCTCAACTCACAAGGCCCAGTGTAGACAGAGCCCCCTAGGAGCATGTGACCAGGATTCCTGGGTCACTCTGGCTCCTACCCACTTGGTCTGCAGTCTTAAGCTTGGCTGGCCCCTCCGGGCCTGGCACCCACCAGTCATTCTCCTGCTCGAAGTAGCAGATGGAGATGACTCGGGAGCCACTGCCAACAGCAAACTTGTTCTCCAGGGGCGCCCAGCGCACACAGCGAGCAGCCCGGTTGATGCGCAAGATGACCAGCGTGGGCTTCCACACGCGCCCCTTCAGTGTCCACACATAGGCATTTCGGTCTGTGCCGCAGGTCACGATGCGGTTACTCTCAGGGGCCCAGTCGATGCCTGCAGCGGGAGTGAGAGGCATGCCAGTCTGAAGCCGCCCAGCCAGTGGCAGCTCCCTGGCAGCCATGTGGAGGGGGTGGGGAACAGAGAGACCCCAATCTGCACAGCAAGTACATTTTCAGCCCAGAACCGGTTAACTGGGGTGAGCTCAGGGTATGCGGATACCCAACCAGATCCTCTGCTGTCGAGCAGATGCTGGCTCGAGAGCCAGACTGTAGGACCGAGAACTGCCCCTGTGAGTTTGAGACTAAATCTGTCACCTCCTCCTCCCAGGGGTAGAGGGCTTACCCTACCCACTTTCTGGTGCATGGCAAAGTGCTTCATCACTGCCATCAGGGCTTAAACCCCACCTCAGAGCCACTGTTCTTCTGACCCTGCATCGGAGCAGCCAGGCACATCGTGCTCGAGCAGAGCGGCTGATGAGGTTGAACCACTGACCTTTTGGTGAGCAGCCCCATTTTCATCCCCTATGCCATCAAGGCTCCTTGCTTGGGGTTATGAGAGCATGAAAGTTCACCCCAACCATAACCACACATGCTAGTGGGCAGAGCCAGAAGAAAGGGCCAAACCGGTGTCCCTGAGGTGCCCTGCTGCTGGATCAAGCCACCTCGGAAGCCCATCAACCTCAGATTCCTAGGCACCTGGACCCACGTATGCCCTGGGTGACTGAAGCCAGTGTGAATCACAGATGTGTGACTTGCAACCCAAACCACCCACCCTACTGCAGTTAGTACGCAGCGGCCCAGCTCAGTCCTGGGTTTCTGTCCTCCCCTCCCCAAGGGCACTCAGCCCTCAGACCCACCTGTCACCTGCCCGTTGTGCTCCTTGAGCTCGTGCACCTTGGTCCACTTGGTCCCGCTCTTCTCGTAGATGTGCACCTCGTGGTTGTTGGGGCAGATGGCAATTTCTGTAGAAGGAGGGGCTCAGGACCAGGCCTCCAAGTTCACACTCCACTCTGCCTGGATGCCCACCCACACACAGCACCTCATCCTGAACCAGTGTTCCTTCTGTGCCGCACAGGGCCCTTTCCTCGCCTCACGCTACCTTTCCCTCCCTTGCACGCAACTCCAGCCAGTGCCGCCCCAGGCCCACCCATCTCAGTGTCCCTCTCCCGGCCGCCTTTCTGTCTCTGCAAATGTCACTACCTCCACGGACCTCTGACCTTTTTAAGTCAGCATCTCCCGTGACCTCCCCTTGCCCAGCGGGGTTTGGAGTTCATAGTTCAGCACTGCAGGTTTATCAGTCGGGGGTGGGTGCATGTGGGGCAGAGTGCACATCACTGCACTCACACTACACCACACACACACACACACACACACACACACACACACACAGCGGCACTTAGACCCCTAAAGTCATCCCCACTGCCATGTTCACACCTCCACATGTCCACCCACACCCCATCTCATTCACACCTCCGAGCCACTGCGCCTGCTGCTCCTGTTCCTTCAGGCCCGGGGGCCCCCAAGGTGTCCTTCCACCTTTCATACACAACACAGGCCAGAGGCTCCCATGCTGGACCCAAGGTGCAGGAGAGGACCAGCCAGCCCTCATGGAGTCTTGCAGACCCACACACTACTCACAGGCAGTGCCCCCAGAGGTGGCCTTCTAGGACACACACACACACACGCCAGCAGGCACTCACGGGAGTGGTCCTTGTTCCAGGCGTGGCAGCTGATGGGCTCCACCAGGAAGCTGTGGTAAGCCATGGCTCTCCCCCTGTGCCAAGAGAGGGGGTCCGGGTCACCCGCCCTGCTCCACAGGATGTCTGTCTCTGAGGAACAGGGGATGCTCTGGGGAGGTTGGGGGGCGGGGCAGGCACGGGGATACAGGAGCTGCAGGTGAACACACAACTGAGTGGGGTGAGAGGTGAGTGTGGCTAGGACCCTGAGCCCAGCAGTCCTGCCACTCACCACAGGTGGAAACCAACTCCCTTGCAGGAGATGAACCAATGCCCATAAATCGCCTACAGGGGTGCTGTCCAGCCTCAGAGCCCCGTCTCCCCTGCCCATTCTATATGCTGAGGTGCGGTGTGGAGGGGATGGGTGTGCAGGGGCCTGTGTCTGGGGGGCACAGATGAACAGACACCCTGAAAACCTACTTGCTGCCCTGGGGCCAAGGTGCCAGAGCTGGCTCAGGCCCGATGTGGCCTGGGTGGAAGTGGTCATGAAAGGACTACTCATTCCAGGCCGCCCCGTCCCAGCACGCTCACTACTGTTGAATCAATGCTGACTCCTGGGGACCCTGCAGGACAACGTAGAACTGTCCCACAGGAATCCCAAGGCTGTATCTTTCCTGCTATTCACAGGTACCAACTCCCCCACCCTAAACCCCTTGCCACCAAGCCAATCCCAACTCACAGGACGGACTAGAACTAGCCCAAAAGGGCTTCTGAAACTATGCACCTTCAGAGACCATCTTTCCCCCCAGGAGCGGCCCATAGGCTCAGGCCGCCAACCTTGGGGCTACCAGCATCCCGACACTGGACCCACTGTGCCATCGGGACCAGGCCACAGGGTGTGCATACGAGTCCCTTCCCCAGCTAGACCAGCTTCCTGCCTCAGCCCTCTACGTGGCCGTTCCCTCAGCCTCAACACATTCCCAAATGCTTCTTGACTCTGCGCCTCGCTGCGGTTGTAAGGCATCGTGAAGCTGGTTCCAACACCTAGTGGCGACCCTGCATGCAGGAGAACGAAGCACTGCCTGGCCCTGTGCCACCCTCACTGTTCTGGTGCAGAGCCCAATGATGCATCACTACTGGCGTCCAAATGCCACCGCCTCTGGGAGGCCTTTCCTGACCACTCCATTTGCGACTGCAGCTGACTCCCGCTCTGCTCCCTCTGATCTACCAGACACACAGGAAAGCCAGTGCCAGCCGGCACCCGATGGGAGGGGGCTGCCTTGATTTCCAGGATCTCATTTTTCGTCACTGACAGGGAGCAGTCTCACCGCTTCCCCATTGTTTGTTCTTGTGGAAAATATCTTCCTCGGACAGGTTTCCACCTTAGACCGCGCCTGGCTTTTGCGGGTATCACGATGCGGGTAGACTTCAGAGGGATTGTAGGCTTGCTCAGTCTCAGACCAATGGAGCGAAGCAGAAGATGGCCATGAAGTGAGCCAGGCACATACTTTGGTTTCCTGGTGCATGCAAGAGCAGCCTTGGTGGCACAGTGGTTACGAGTTGGGCTGCTAACTTCAAGGTCAGCAGTTCGAACCCACCCATCACTCTGTGGGGGAAAGAGAGCTTTCTACTCCTGTAAAGAGTTCCAGTCTTGGAAACTCACCGGGGTAGTTCTACCCTGCCCTACAGGGCCGCTATGAGCTAGCATCAACTCATTAGTGAGTTTGGGTTTTGGTGGCATAGTGGTTACATGTTGGGCCCCTAACCTCAAGGTCAGCTGTTTGAAACCACTAGTGCACCATGGAAGAAAGTAGTAGTAGAAACTTCCTACTATCGTGGAGAGTTATAGACTCAACCCCACAGGGGCAGTTCTACCTTGCCCTTCGGGGTTGCTAGGAGTCAGAACTGACTCGATGGTAGTGAGTTCGGTGTTTTGAGAGCATACGTAGAAGAGCTACGTTGGCGGTGGGATGTCCTCTGTGACGTGAACGAGAGCATTCTGCAAATGTTTGCAATGTCATGAGAAGGGCTGAAATAGGCAGAGACGTGAAGAGCCACACACGGTTGGCAAAACAGTGCTGCCAGATAAGTGAGCTTGGTGCAGGTGGCCATAGAGAGCCTACAGGTGTGAACCTGAGTGAAGGGGGAGGTCTTCATCCACAGCAGGGAGACGAGAGAGCACAGGTGGGGAGAGGAGGGTAAATTATCGGGGAGTTTGCTAAGTCCTTTAAAATTGTTGACTACAACATGGATGATCTGAAATGTAAATCCTCACCTAACTCACGATTTATAAAAAAACGTTGAACAACAGGTGTACCGGTAGGAGAACGGATTCAGTAATTTCCCTGTTCTCGTTCTCCCCCTGCTGGCCGGATGTCAGAGGGAGGCCACAGACATTCTGGACCTGTCTTGTTCCTCTTGCAAGGAGTGACGCCTTGGACTGCCAACCACAAGGTCCGCAGTTTGAAGCCACAAGCTGCTCCTCCAGAAGAAGATGAGGCTTTCTAAAAGCTCCCATAAGAGCTAAAGCCTCAAAAATCCACAGGGACAGTTGTCCTGCATCCTATAGGGTCGCTAGGGTTGGAGTTAACTCCGTGGCTGTAAATTTCACTTTTGTTCCGAGTCTGTATCCCCATTACCTACAGGTATGGTCCACATTGCATGTTCAATAAATAATGAGCACGTTTCTTTACTGCCATTAACACTCAGCAGAGTAAAAAAGAAAAAGTAGACCACCTCATGTTTCTTGCATGGGCCACAATGGTGAAGCCCTATCATAAGCACCTTGGTAAAGACTGAATTGGGTCCTGCAAACAGGCATATTGAGGTCGGGACCCCTGGTACCTGACGAGTGTGAAGGAGGATCTCGAAGTAGTTTTTTAAATTATTTTACTGAACTGAAGGAGCCTTGGGGTATAATGGGTTACTCAGGTTGCTAACAGAAAGGTCAGCAGTTCAGACCCACCAGCCACTCTGAAGGAGAAAGATGAGGCTTTACTGCTCCAGTAAAGTGTTAGTCTCAGAAATGCCCAATGGGGGCAGTCCTATAGGGTCGCTATTGGCAGTGAGTAGAATTTAAGGCCAGACTGGAGCAGAGAGGGCCTGGATCTGAGGGGCATCCTTATAAATGGGGAGCGACACAGAGGGAAGGGGGCCAAGGGGCAGGGCATTTTCTGTTGCCACTGCACGCCTGCCGGGGGCTGCTTGAAGCTGGCGAACTGAGGAAAGTCCTCTCGAGGAAGTGACCCACCTGTGAGAGACACCCTCATGTCAGCCTTTGGTTCTCAGTAGCAGTGAGAGGAGTCCGGTTTGTTATAAATATCACTGCTTTCCCACCAGTCCTAGGCCTGGAGACAAGTCCTCCTGTCAGCCACCTGCTCAGTCACACAGCCATCAGCTAGGGGAGCACTTGGCTGGAGGAGTCAGGAGCCAGAGCCCTGAACACTAGGAGTAGGTGGCTGCCACCACGGTCCCCCTTCCCTCCTCCCCCAGGATCTCCACCTACTGGGAGGAGCATGAGGTGGCGCCCAGGCTTGGAGAAGGGATGGAGGGCCATGGGCCAGAGATCCAGGTCACCACCCAAACCATTCAGGGCTTGATTTCAAGCCCAGCAGCACCCTGTCTGGTGGGCAGTTCCATCCAGCCCCTGCTCACTCTGGACCCGGATCACCTCCAGCAGGAAGTCTTGGGAGTCACACACACACACACATGCAGACACGCACACCATACCAGGCACCTGTGCAGGGACAGAGGCAGGGCCACGCTTGTTTCCCCAGAGCCTAGAACAGGGCCTGCCTTTGCTAAGAAAGAAAAAATGACCCCAAGCCGACTGCTTCCCCCAATACATGTCAACCTCACAGGCTTGTACGCTGTCCTCACCACGGCTTCCTCCCTGAGCCTCTGTCCTTAAAAGGCCTGTCTGTGTACCAGCAAGGCCCCGGAAGTGCTGCCTCACCCTGGCCCCGTCAGCAGCCCAGGGGTTTCCCCTGAGCACTTCGGTGCACCCAGCCTGTGCCAGCGATGTGCCACTTGGGTGGGAGGCCATCACTGCAGGCCTGCGTGCCAGGCCCATCTGAGGGCCGAGCTGTGTTCATCCATTCCAGGTCACCAGGGGCCAGTGGGGGAGCCAGAAGCCCATTCCCAAGCCCCAGCCTGGGCCCCCTGGCACCCATCGAGACCACCGTGCTCAGCCCCAGGTGGTCCTGAAGGAAGAGGTCCTCTACTTCCCAGGCCCCAACTGTCAGACATACTGCGTGTCTCCCAGGGCATGTCTCTGCTCCTGAGGGGTCTTGGTGAGTGACCAGCCATGGGGGCACACAAGTCTGTCACATAAGGCTCTTGAGTGGTGGGCTGCGCAGACAGAGTGGCTGGGTCTGCCAAGGGGAATGGCATGAAGGAGACTTGGGAAGCCCTGACCACTGACTGCCCAGATGGAAGACTGTCAGGTGGGGGAGGGAGAGCTGGTATGACAGGCAGGAGAGGGAGAGGCTGAGACCTAGCTCTATCAGTCAATCACACTTTAGCATGAACTGAGACAGAAATACTTCCTAAGCCACTAACACTCCTTAAAAGGGGTGGAGAGGGCTGGGGGTGGGCAGGTGAGAGTAAGACTCATGTCTCCTTTTTGTTAACTTCCTCAAAGTAATTGAAACCAGAGGGCCTCAGTGATGATGCCCCAACCCCCAGGCATTACAAATGAGGAAGCAGCCTTTTTATGATCACCACTTTGACCTGGCAACTGACAGGCAACCCTCTGCCTACCTCACAGGGCTGGGGTCTAGCCACCCCAGGACCAATTAAGAGCCACTTGGGATGGCTTTGCCCAAGTGTGAAGACAACCCCGACAGGTTTACTTGTCGCTGCTGCCCACCTAGCAGGTTTGCAGTAGGGACCTATTTGACTGTTGAGGATGAGAGAGCCAGGGTCCTGGGGGCAGTCTTGGGACTAGAAGTCCAAGGCCAGCACTCTCTTGCACCATTACCCTGAGCCCCCGTGGGGTTGGGGGAGTGAGGACCTGGGCCCTCTGCAAGCTCCTCCCCACACTCAGCACTGGCTAGCGCAGACGAGCTTGGGGTCAGGAGCTTTTTGTAGCCCCAGTAGCACCTCAGGAGTGCTGGTGGCACAGTGGTTAAGCACTCCTCTGCTAGCTGAAAGTTTGAAGATTGAATCCATCCAGTGGCTCAGAGAGACAACGTGGGACCAGTTTGTGCCGCCCAGTCCAATAAAGGTCTAAGGTCACCTCAGTTTGGAGTTGGCTTGATGGCAGTGTTTTTTGGGGGGAGGTGGGGTGGGGGTGCTTGGCAGTCCTTCTGCTGAGTCTGGCACATTAGGAATGGGCTGGGGATCAGTCAGGGCTGGAGCGGGAGGTATAGGTGGCTGTGCTTCTTCAGAGTTCCCTGCAGGTGGCTGGAAGGGGACCTGGCCTAAGACCATGCAGGCTGCATGTGTCATGACTGCTTGGGGATGTTCTAGAGGATTCTGTAAATGTTTACTGGGAGTGTGCCTTCCAATCCCCACTGCCCTTCCCCACCTCCTTAGAAATGATGAGGATCAAACCCAGGGTTGGAAAACCTCGGAACCCTCTAGGCTGGTGGGTGCCCCCCGAGATTCAGAATAATCCAGCTCCCCTCTAAAGCAAGCTAGGCCAAGACTGCACCAGCCAGAAGACCACCTTCTCGTCCTTAGACTCAAAAAACTCACTGTCATCCAGTTGATTCCAACACAGGGCAGGGTAGAACTCCCCCATGGGTTTCCAAAACTATAACTTTTTATGTTATAAAAAGCCTCATCTTTCCCCCAGGGGTGGCTGGTGGTTTCAAAAAGGCTGTCCTTGCAGTCCGCAGCCCAACATGTGACCCACTGTACCACCAGGGCTGCTTCCTTTGAGTTAGGTTCTAATTCTGATGCTCTCTGACGGCTGGCTGGTTGCACTTGGCTAAGGCTTCTTTCCCCCACGTCTGTATCCAGGACAGGCCGGGTTGACCACCGCACAGGCTTGGCCAGGTGTCTTTGATCTTTCAGAGACAGGTTGTCTCTGAAGCGGCAGCAAGCAGGAGCCAGCAGTCTGGAGCTAGGACCCAGGAGCTCCTGGCACTGGGGAAATCCCCACCCGGCTCAAGAGTTTGCAGGGAGCTGCCAGCAAACCGTTTTAAACTTTTTTTGTGAAGCAGTTACTCAACTTCCTGTTGTGTGTAGGAGTCGGCGGGTGTGGAGGGGCCCTGTCACCCACACCACGGACCAGCCAAGTGCTCCTCCCCAAGCCAGCACACTGGAAGCCCTTTTCCAAGCCAGGCCCAGTCAAGCAATGCCAACCAGTTACAGTAGTCCCGACACAACCGAACACCCAAAACTCAGTGCTGGCAGGGTTGTGAGGAAATATTCACTCAGTTCTAAAGAGCCTGCAGTGAGCCCCCAATTCAACAACCCAGGGAACCGCCAACAGGGCAGAGGTGGGGGAACCAAAGCTTAACACTCTTTGGACATGCCAATCCATTGTGGTGCTTGGGGAAAAAAAACCAGCCGAGTTTTCTTTTTAATTTTGTTTTTAAAACAAACGTGTCTATAACAATGCTCTTTCTCATGGGGACTGGGTGGAAAAATCCAGAGAATGACTACGGAAAGAGTGAACGGTGATATCCACTGTTTGGGAGCCCGTTGAGCTTTCTGAAAAGACCTGTGGTACTAACTGCAAGGCCAGCACTCAAACTCATCACCCCCCCTACCCCCACCCCTTCCACACCCCTCCCCCCAACATCGAGGCTTTCCAACCTCATCCCAACAACAGGGGTAGTTCTGCCCTGCCTGTAGGGTCTGCTTGAGTCAGATCTGGCTCCAAGGCAGGAAGTTTAGTTTTTAGGTTGGGGGGCGCTCCCACGCACTCCCCACATTTGACAAGGGTGTTCGATTTCCCCAAATTTCTACACCTGTTCACTCTTTTACCCCCTAAAGCTGGCCTGCGAAGAAAATATTTAAAAATAAACAAAAACAACAAGCTTTCACTTTGTACAGAGGAAACTGAGGCCCAGACAGGCAGTGACTCACAGTTACGCCTGAGGCCAACTAGCAGAGGCCAGAGGGCAGGCCTCAATCCTGCACCAGCACATTCCTTCCAGAGCCTAGCCCTGGCCCCGGGTGCCTCATACACTGTTCCATTGAGCCTCACAACGTGATTAAGTAAGCCATATGGGAAGTTGAGGCCCAGGGAGGTGAGGTTTCTTGCTGGAAGGAGCCAGCACTCGCACCAGGTCCCTTTAGGTGGGCGCTGCTCTGAATCACTGGACCGCCCTGCCTGGGAGCCTGGGCCAGCTCAGCGTCCAGCCCGAAGCTTGTTCCTGGAGCCTGCTGGAGCCCAGGGAAGGGAGAGACCGTTCGTTCGGAAGCGCCAGTCGAGGGACCCTTGGGGAGCCCTCCAGGGCGGGGGCGGAGGTGGCTGGGGACCACGGGCGGGGCGGGGGCGCCAGCTCATTTCCCGGCCGAGCGACCCGGAAGGCTCGAGATGGAGGGGAAGTGGTTGGGCGTGGGCCGGCCGCCCCAAGTAAAAGGGGCCCCCTCCCGCGGCTGGCCCAGCCAGGGGTCCCAGGAGCCCTGTGCACCCCCGCCCAACCCTGCATCTCTCTTCTCCAGAGCCCTCCGACTGGTCACCTCGGGGCGCTCCGGGGGCCTCACTTCTCCACCCGAACCTCCAGATGGCATCCCTCTACCCCTGCGCCCCCTCCCTTCCAGGTCCCCTCGCTCCTCTCTTCGAGAGCCCCTCCGCCCCGTTACCGCGGGCTGAGTCCTGAGCACCTCTTCCTGGTCCCAAAGCCACTACACCCCGGGCAACATCCCTGCCTCCTGGCCCTGGCCCTCCTGCCTAGGTGGCCCCCTGCTCTCCAGGGGTCCCCGTGCCCCTCTCTGGGGACACCCTGCATCCAGTCACCTCTGGGCGTTCCCAGGGTCTCTCCTCCGGCCGGAGCCTCTAAACCTCCAGGCAGCCCCCCCGTCTTTTGGGGGCGATTCTTGCCCTGCCTCTACTCTCAGTTCTCCAGTGGCGCCCCCCGGCCTCCCCTAGCCCCGTGCCCTCACCTGCGGGCTCCCTGGTCGCGGACTCTGGGCAGTCGACGCGCCGAGCCGGTCTGGGCCCCGCAAGCCGCCGCGGCCACTTCCTTGTGGGCGGGGGCGGGGTCCAGGGCGGGGCTCTCCCCTGGACCCGCCCACCCCTCGGGCGCGGGCACCTGGGGCCCGCCCCGTCTTGGGGCGTCGGGGCACTGAGGCGCAGGGGACCGTCCTCAATCGTCCCTGGGCAGCAGCTGGTCCGGAACCTCGGGGGTGGCGGAATGCACGTACCCCTCCCCCCAGAGCTGCGGCCTCCTAGCCGGGACGGTGGGCACGGCGGGCTCTGTGCGCCGCTTGAAACCTGTGCCAGTCTCGGCGCCAGGCTTCCAGAAGGGACAGCCCTTTTCTGCCCCGATCCCGGTGCAAGGAGGCCCCCGCTGGCGTGGCCAGCACAGCCTGGCCTCCTACTCTGCCTGAGTCCTCACCACAAACCGGAGTGCTGGCCCCAGGTGGGGCGCGCGCCAGCCCGTCTCCCTGGTAGCAGGCTCTGAGTTCAGAGCTAACTACCTGCCTCGAGCAATGTGCTTGGGACCTTTGACTTTGGGTCGGGGGTGGGGGTGGGGGCGTGGGAGACTGCATGTCCTTGCAGGATTCTGAATTTCGGGTCATCCCGACCCCCTTCTCAGTGGCCAGGAGGCTGGACAGGTGGAGACGGCTTTGGCGCTCAGACTACTGTACTCCTTAGGCATTAGGCTGCAGCTAATGGGTGCAGCTGCGCAAGCGCAAGCAGTAATCCTCAACAGATTTTTTTGGCGTCAGTTGTCGCTACAGTCCGAATTAACTGGTGGCAACGAAGTTTGGTTTGGGTTTTGGGGAGCCCTCTGGAACCCAGAGAAGCTACCTGGGGTCCTCATCTCGCTGTTCATGCAGCCTGGAAAGTTTCAAATAAACTGGGTTTCAAATGGCCAATACTAGTGCTCCTGCCCCCAGCAGGAACCACTCAGCATAACACTGCCCTCCTTTCTCTGGCTTCCGTGGTCTACTCATCCCTAGGGACCCAGCCCTAGGTGAGGCTGACCTCACCTAACCCCATCAGCATCAGTTCCTGGATTTGTGACCTTAAGTGACTCAATCAACCCTTATGAGGGTTGATGGAGACCCAAGTGGTGTGAGCCTGAGCCCTCCTGTGGAGCAGAGTAGAGCCCTGGAGTCCTAGTGGGTTGTGCCTTGGGCTACTAACCACAAGGTCAGCAGTTTGAAACCACCAGCTGCTCTGCGGGAAACATATGAGGTTTTCTACTCCCCAAGAGTCACAGTTTAGAAACCCACAGGGACAGTTCTACCCTGTCCTAAAAGAGTCACTACGAGCCGGAATTGACTTGATGGCAGTGAGTTTGTTTTGAGTGGCGCGGCAGCTCCAGGAAAGCTGGCCCACAGATAAAGCTGGATCGGGAGTGGACAATGTCCGAGAAAAGATGACCACAGCCATGGGCAGCCTGCAACTGGCCAGCCTCAAGCCCAGCCTGCTATTCCAGGGCTCAGATCTTCGAACCACACATCTGCTTTCTTTTCAATCTGGCTGGAGTTTTGGTTACCCATCAGCTTGGGGTGTGTGTGTGCCCCTTTTCCTAACTGGGAAAACAGAACAGAGAAAGCCTGGTTTGATGACAGGAGGGCTCATAAGTGCCCAGCCAGCAAAACCCTGCTGGTCTTGTCTGCAGCCACTCTCCCAGGTGCCTGGAACAGACTCTGGGGGATTCTGGGAGCAAGCAGCACACATCCCGGAGTGGAGAGTGCATAAATCAACATGTGAACAAATGGTGTCAGTCATCAGAATCCAGGTTCTGCCGTTTAACCAGTAGTGTGACCTCAGGCAAGTCCTGCCACTCCTGGTGCCTCAATATCCCTAACTGTGGATTGAGGCTTGTTCTTAACAAACTCTGCCCTAGCTCCCAGGCCGGCAGACATGGTGTGGAGAGGGGTGGATGGAAGATGGCCAGAGGCTGGAGGCATTACTGAAATGGCTCCCCCAGGGACCATCTTATAGCTTGTGAGTGGACAGGGGCTCGGGCGTGGAGGGGTGCCATCTGGAGTTCCCAGAACAGCTTGGAGAGCTTCCTGCCTCTTCCTAGATACCGTGTCACATGGGCCTGGGCCATGCTCCCTCCCTCGATCCCTGGGAGCTCGCCCACTCTCTCCGGTTGCCAGCAGTTCCACCCACACCTGACAATGACACCTCCTAGCATAGTGGACTCAGACAGGTGATCCCTCCACCGTCAATTCTGTCTCATGGAGACCAGACCCTACAGGACCCCATAGCTTTTTAAAACATGGCCGTCCGCTTCCTTCAAAAGAAAACCACCTTGGAAAGCCTCAGGAGCAGTTCTGCTTTGTCTCAGGGGTTGTGGGTAATCTGTATGCAGATGGGGTTCTCGCCCATGCAGTGCCTGGTGGATTTGAACCACCCACCTTGGGTTGGCAGCTGATCACTTAACCACTGTGCCACCCCACACCAGAACCCACTGCTATGAAGTTGGTTCTAGCAAGCCTGTAGGACGGAGTAGAGCTGCTCCACGGGGGTCCCAGGGTGTAGATCTTTATGGGAAAAGACCGCTTCATCTTTCTCCCATGCAGCTGCTGGTGGGTTTGAGCTGCTGGTGTCTTGGTTAGCAGCCAAGTGCTTAAACACTGCACCACCAGCGCTCCTAGTAGGCAGAGCAGGGTCTGATGTCTCTAGGTCACTAACGATCCTCCCAGCACAGGCCTCATCGTCTCTTGGTCACAGGGCAGAGGCCCAGGCCCAGCTCCCTCAGCTATAAGGGAGCCAGGACCAGGAAGGAAAACTTCCTGGGAGCACTAAGTCTCAGTAAAATGGAATTGATAATAGCATTTTCCCAAGGATGTTTTGTAGCCATTTATCTCATTGGTTAAAACAGAGCCATGTGCTTGACCCTGAATGGGGCCCCTGAGGGAACTGCGCACAGGAACAAAGAGGGGCGCCCGCCCAAGCCACCTCCCAAGGCCACGTGCAAGGTGGCCCAAGCTTCTGGCACCAGGCGGCTACCGCTCCATGTCACTTCAGTCAAGGAATTCAGGTCTACACCAAACCCCACCAATTACGGTCAGCAGACGGTCACTCCCTTCAGTTCCAATGACACGCCCTGCTCCTGGCCCACTGCCTACACTCACCCAGCAGGCGAGGTGAGAGCCGGCCCGTGCAGCGGGGCTGGGACTGACTTGTTAGTTCCCTCTCTGGGTGTGTTTGGTCTATGTACTGGAAGAAGTACATCACATCGTCTCCCCCTCCCTGTGCGCGCCTTGGCACAGGGGCTCCCTCTGCAGCGTTTGCCGGCTTAGCCGAAGCAGCCTAACTGTACTAAAACCACTTCCTTGGATTCTGGCTCACATGACCCCTTGTGCATCAGAGCACTCTGCTCGCAGGGTGTTCGATGGCTGAGCTTGTGATGGAGGTCACCACAGGCCTTTCTTCTAAGGTGCCTCGGAGTGGCCTTGAACCTCCAACCTTGCAGTGAGCAGCTGAGCTCGTCGCTGTCTGAGAATCTAAGCTGAGGAACAGTTTGGCTTTCTCTAAAGCAGAGATGCAGTTTGGTTCCCCAACGATGGTGAAGTTTACAACCAAACCCATAGCAGACAGGCTGCTAGGGTGGATTAGGGCTCCAGCTGCCCTGCAGGGTGGAGAACCGAATCCTTACGGGAGCGGACAGCCCCATCCTCCGGTGGAGGGCTTGGCGGGTCTGCATGGACAATCTTGTGGTTAGTCGCCCAGTGCTTACCTCACGGTGCCACTGGGGCTCTTTATAACCACTGACCTATATTTTCCTATTACAAATGGAACCAGTGCAAAAAAAACCAACACCAAATTCACATTCAGGTTTTTTAATTTCAGTCTCTAGCAGACACACTGCACACCTCACCCCCTCCTCAAGTAACAACTTTCCCATATAAATGCTATGAAGAGACGCAGCTTTCGTCAGGAGTGGAAGCAGCCAAAAAAACAACAAAAACAAAAAGCCACTGCTGCTTTGAAAAAACACACACCAGTTTCACCAGTTAGATTCAAGCACAATCCTGCACACAGTATTTTCATGTTGTCAGTGTTTCTGAAGCGGGGTCGAGGAGGCTGAAGGTCAAGGCTGGTCCTGCTAGATCAATCCTGAGGGTGTGCTCAGCTTCACATTATCCGGAGGCCTTGGATGGAAGACTCTAAGGTCTTAAAGAGGAAAATGGACATAGGTCTTTACTAAGGAATGCTAACCTGTGGGCCTTTCTTACCCCAGCACTGGACAATACACACCACACCACACCCCACCTCACTGCTAGGTTGCTTGGCTGAGGTACTCACATAACCTGGCACCACCCCCGTGACAGGCTGTCCCAGGACTCAGGCCCTGCTGCCCCCAGACCTGTGGGCTCCTCGTCCATCACCCAGTCCCCAGGGATCCTGACATGGTCTGCAGACTAAGCAGGACTCTTACTTACTTGATTACCTAACCTGTGAATATTGAACTTTCTAGCCACCATAATCACGTGAACAAGCAGTCCTTTAAAAATACACATCCCCCCCGCCCCCCACAGACACACACTATATCTTATCTTACTAGCTGTATTTCTCTAGATAACCTTAAGGTATCCCGAACTTCCTCAATGTGAAAACAAAAGGCGCTTCTCTTCTGGGGCTTCACCCAACCCCCTACACCCGCCGCCGCCCCACCCCCCCCAGCTATAGAGAAGGCCCTGGTTTCTTCTTCTTCCCCTTGGTCTCCTGGTGCCACTGCTATGCTAGGTACCCATCAGGCACTGCTCTAACTGCCACGGAGTTGATTCCAACCCACAGTGACCCTTGGGCAGAACAGAGCCACCCCACACGGATTTCCGAGAACATCATTTTTTACAAGAGTAGACAGGCTCATCTTCTCCCAGAGTAGCTGCTGGTTTCGAACTGCTGACTGATGGGCCCAGCTGAGAGTGGAATGTCTCCTTCCTATGATTCTCTCCACGCCCACATCTTCCCACGAGACCACACCCACACCCGGCCTCTTTCAAACTTGCCAATCAGGAGGATACACGGTGCTCTCCCAAACCTAGCTTTTTTAGTCACCACCCCAGGAGGAAAGTCTATTAGCGCGGGAGTTCTCGCTCTCTCACTCTTGCTCTGGCAATTCTGTTACGCTGCTGCTCTCTACTGGGCTTCTCCACCTTCCCTTACGGCTCTTTCTTTTGGAGAAGTCCAGCATGTTGCATTCCTCGCTCCGGCTCCTTATCCGTCACTGACCTTGTGGTCAGCAGCCGGCTCATAACCCAGGACGCCACCAGGGCTCCTTACTTCACTCCCTCCCTCATCTCTCTGTTCTTTCCTCACGGGAGGCGGGCACCAAAAAGTATGCACCCATGACTCCTCCCTGAGAAAATTTGTTGCCTCCAGGTGTACAGAGAACCACCTGGTAATCCCCGTGCCCGAGAAATAGTTGTCTCACAGGACACTTGTTCACAACTGAGATTTGTTCCAAAAGGCAGGAAATACCTTGAAATCCCAGATGGTCATGGCTCCATCGATGCCAGTAGTGCAGAATTTACGACAGTCTTGCTTGTCCACCTCATAAATAGACACTTGGCTGGGGGGGAAAACAGAGAGATCAGGAGGTGGGCAGGTGAACATGTCGCTCCTGACTGACAGTGTCATGGCAGCTCAAGGAAACGATTATCCGTCCCTTCATGAGAGTGGCCTGGTGGGGCAGGACAGTCTGGGTCACATGGCTTGCCCGAGGTTGAGGGAACGAGGAGGAGGACCACTTGGCAGGAATGGAAACAATTTCCTAATCTGGAGGAATGAGGAAGCATGGCCGAAATCCCACGGGCTCCAAACCCAACCTCCCACATCAGCCCAGCGGAGAAGGCCGGGACACACGGGCAGGAGACGGCCTGGTGCTTGCGATCAGTTCCTTGGGCCCGGCAGTCGCAGGCAGACACACTGCCTCAGGCCTCTGGCCAATCACGGTTACTCAAACGAACAACTTCCAACCAGACGGCTTCCTGGGCTCAGATAGGGTTTCTTTCTCTCCTAAGAGGTCTAGAACTTGACCCTCTAGGGCTGGGATGACAAAACAGGGCCTGAGTGCCTGTTTCTTTCCCTTTTATAAATCTATTTTTATTTTGTGGTGGCTGCTGAGAGTAGACACAGCAGCACACAGTCCAGTTTAAACCACTGTCTCCACATAGACCAGTCAGCGACCGGGTGACTTCGCTCAAGTAGTGCCACCTCCTCGGCCTCCCTTCCTGAGCACTTCCTCCCCCACTAACACGACCATTGTGATTTTCAAGTTTCTCTTGGCAATTAAAAGACAATAATGCTCAAGGCAGACATTCTGTGCCAGTTAAGCTACACTACTGCTGGATTGATAAGACTTTGGGGGACAGTTTTGGTTGAAAGTATAACGATGCCCTCAGGGCAATAGTTTCAGGGACTTATCCCAGCTTCAGGGCTCCAGGAAGTTTGGATTCCAGGAGAATTTGAAATTCTGGTCAGCCTTTCCTTCCTTTCCTCAGGATTCTATGGAATTTCTGATCAAAATGTAATGGGAGGCAGGCCCATCCAGTTCTTCTGGTCTCCTGGCAAAGGAGGTGGTTAGCCACACATTCCATAGCCTCCTCGGATCCCGGCTGTCCTGCCCCTTCCTCTGTCGTCCCAGAGGACAGAACTCCAGGCACTATGCAAGGAACGAGGAGGTAGGACTGAATACGAACAGTACCAGGCCAGTGACACAGATGTCCCATGACATCAGAAGCCTACAGCCCCAAGTCAAGAAACCAAACCCCGTGAGGTTTGGAGTTGTATATAATCAGCCGCAGCAGCTACTGGCTTTCTGGTTTTTGTCATCGCAAACGTATCACCCAATTTTTGCCAATTCAAGTTTTTACAGGTATAAAACTTATTTAGGCAATTATAGTAACAGCGGTGTTAATTAACAGTCCTATCACTACTAGCCCCTCCCCCCCTCTGCCCCTGGTAACCACTACCAGACAGTTCTCTCTGCGTCTTGTCTTTTTATATAAATGAGGTCATAAAATACTTGTCCTTTTGGGACAGGCATCATAAGGCCCTCCAGCTTCATTCATGCTCTAACATGTATCAGGACTGCTGCTTCTGGCTGAAGAGTGTCCTGTTTTCTGCATCTCCCACCTTTTGTCTATTCATCCCTGACGGATGGGCTCTGAGGTGGTTTGCCCCATCCTCTGACGACTATGAGGAGTGCTGAGAGGACACAGGCTGTCGGAGTCTGGCTGGGAGTCTTTTGGGGTAGATCTGGGAGTGGAATTGCTGGGCCACACAGAAGCCTATTTCTTGCTCTTTAAGGAATTGCCACACTTTTCCACAATGGTTCCACAATGCCTTCCCTCCACCCTGGGTAGGGGCTCCAACTGCCCATGGCCTCGGCCACACCAGGTTTTGTTGATTTTGGTCACCCCTGTAGCTGTGAACTGCTACCTCACTGTGGTTCCGAGTTGCGCCAACCCTCTGCTGCCTATGGTGCTTACGTATTCGTGTGTGGTGGCCCAATCAAGTCTGTGGCCCAATTTAGGATCCCGTTATACAGCACCCATTTTTGTACAGCCATGGGTGAGGAATGATTTTAAAAATTTTAAATCTTTAAATGGTTGAAGGGAAAGAGGATATCACAGTACATGAAAAGTATATGAGATTTGAACATCCGTGTCTATAAAACTTTACTGGGATGCAGCCATGCTTGTTCAATTTCTATGTGGCCTGTGGTGGTTTGTGCGCCGCAGCAGCCAAGCTGAGACCGTTGCACCAGAGACTAGCCGGCCTCAAATGGTCACTATCCAGTCCCTGAGAAGCACTCAGCTGAGCCTCACAGACCGAAGGCCTCCTTTTCTGTGTAGAAATGCAGTCCTCTTTGCCTTATTGCCCTCTGTCTTTATATAAGTCTTTGGCACTCAATTAGTGTTGTTTTCTACTGAACACACATCTGCAGAGAAGCCAGAAGAAAAATCTCGAGAGACTTTGAAAGTCATTGAAGACAGGGAAACTTGAAGAGTAAGAAAGGCTAGGCCTCATGGGCTACTTCATTGGAGCACAGACCCAGTGTAAATTCAGCTGTTCTTCCTACTGAACATCAGAAAGAGAAAGGTCTACATTTAGTAATAATTCTCTCACAGAGAAAGTCTAGAGGTTCCCATGATCCTTCCCACCACCACCAATCTCTCACCACACCAGGTTTCGTCAAAATGAAGACATCCATGGCTCTTCACTAACCCACAGTTTAAAACGCTGATGATCGATTGCACTTCTCAGGATTACAAAATCCCAGTTTCATGGTTTCATGCACTCACGTGAGCTTTAGGAAATATCAGTCAGGAGACTCCCTCATTTTGTCATACTGAGGCTACGGCGTTGTTACTCTAATTAAACAACCACCTTGCTGTTCTGTGGCTGACATCCATGGTAGAAGTGACAGCTAGGAGAACCCCACAGTCCCTGTCACACATCCACGGCAGAGGGACAGGTGCTGCGGACACTGAACACTAGGACGAGGCTGCCTGCACTGACCACACGCCCTCACAGTCGGCCTCCTCTGGGGGCACTGTGCCCCCCACACCCTGAGGGCAGACGGACAGCTGGTGTGGACTCAGCACACTCCCTGAGGAGGAGAGATGTCGTCTGAAGACGCTGGCTCCTCACTGTTCTCGCTCCTGGAGGGACGTCTGGCCTGCAAAACAGACAGCTTCCCTAGGGGCCAGGCTGGGAAGGGTGAGGGGAAGGAGGCCGTCTTGCTGACCCGACTGTCCTCTCTGGCCCTGGCACTTACGTGATGCTGTTCTGGTGCAGCGTCTCCAGGGCCGTGTGGCGGTCCTCAGTGGTGGCCCTCTTGTCCATGTTGCGGAAGCGCTCCATGGCTGACATGTTGCGCTGGATGCTCTGTTTCGGGATGTCCAGTTTGGAGACGAAGGTCAAGCAGCCACGGTCATCGTAGTTAAAGAGCATGGGGCAGCAGTCGTGACCCTGGAACAAGAGCCTAGTCAGCCCTCGGCACGCTCACCACCCGCCCACCAACCCCTCGGGGTCTCCCCGGCGGGCATCTCAAAAGCCTATTCTTTTGCTCCTAAAAGGCGGTTCCACTTTGTGCTGGTGCCACAGGGTGGGCACTGTTCCTGTTCTGGAAAGTTCTACACAGTGTGTGGCAAGGAGAAAGGGAGGGAGGCACTCACAGCAGCCACGACGCTATTCTCCGAGACAAAAGACACACTCAGGAGTGGCAGGAACTCAGTCTTCAGAGTGGAAGCCCTGAACGTAAGAACACTATTAATGGAGGCTGGGACGGGCCACACGGCTTCTTCACGGTCACAAAAGCTGACAAAAGCCCCACTCTTCCCCTGCAGGGGCCGGCAGGAGAAAGGAGCACTTGCGTTTAAAAGGCGCCCTGTGAGCTGTACTTTCAGCAATCTCAAGTATGGACTGCGCAGAGGTAATCATCAGAAAACCCAGGCCCTCACGCCACCACCCCAGCACCCAACCACTCACCATTAAGGGCCCTAGTTCTTGCCCTTCTCTCTCAGCCCTTCACCTTCCACGCATCTTTATGGCCTAGCTTACCCAAAGATGGCCCTGATTGAAATGGGTGGGAGGGATACCTATAGAACATGCATCCACACAGACATATGGGGGCTTCAGAAAGTCTGCTGAAAAATTCCATGGCCTCTTCGTTGTGTTCCCATGGACTTTCTGAGGCCCCCTTGTTGCTACAAGCAGCCCCCGACTTCAGCAGGGTTTTGTTCTGATGCTTCCGCCATGAGTTGGTTTCGATGTAAATGGAATGCCTTGCCTTTTTGTTATCTTTTGTTATCTTTGCCTTTTAATACAAGCACCCCTAGAAATAGAGAGACCTGGTGGCAGGGTAGTTTAAGCATTGGGGGGCCAACCCAAGAGCTGGAGGTTTGAATCTGCTCCTTAGTAAAGACGACATCAGGATAGAAGACATGCATGTCATCAAAGGCCAGCCCGAGGCCGGTCCAGCTGTCACTGTACCAGTATGTATGCTTGCGGAGGGCGAGGAGGGCACTGACAATCTCACTGGAGTCTTGGGAAAGCCAACTAATTAACACAACGACAGACATGGCTTTGGAGGAAGCGTATTTAAGAGCTTACCATGTTTATAAAACTCAAATGCCAAACTCACTGCCATCGAAGCCAATGCTGACTCACAACGACCCTATAGGATAGGACAGAACTTCCCCTGTCAGTTTCGGAGATGGAAACTCTTTACAGGAGGATAAAGGCCCATCTTTCTCCCATGGAGAGGCTGGTGGTTTAGAACTACTGACCTTGCAGATCATAGCCCAACAGATAACCACTTACCACCAGGGCTCCTGGTGTATGATATGTATGATAAACTATAAATATCAAGCTATGCCTTCAAATTGCCGCAGAAAATGAGACTGACAAAAGGCAGAAGGTATGGTGCCCTCTTGCTGTGTCGTAATGAAGGCATTGGAGTGTCTCTAAGGCACAGCCCTGGGGTCCTGGGGCAGAGTGGAACTGTGCTGGGCTGCTAACATCAAGGTCAGCACGCGAACGCAGCAGCTTGCTCCACGGGAGAAAGATTTATAGCTTCGTAAACCCCAAAGTGACGGTTTATTATGTTTAAAATACGTGCAATGAAATCTTCTGGAGAACATTACTGATTGCAAGTACCTAATACAACTGGGGCGCACGGGGTGTGTGTGTGTGTGTGTGTGTGTGCAGTGTGTGCGTGGGGCATGTACAATCTAGTTTGGGAAAAAAAAGGTGTTATCCCTGCTACACCCTGTTCCGCTGCCACCGTGCAGCTGAGGGAGTCGGAGTCACAGGTGTGACTGGTTGTGCAGAGGCCCACAGGGCGGGAAACCTGGGGTGGTGAGTCACCTTCTGCTCACGATGGAGGAGTCAATGGGGAAGACCCGGAGATACCCCTCGTCTTCCCTCTCCTGCACCACAGAACTGTGCCAGATGACTCCCGCTGGGCTGAGGAGGGAGGGGGGCGGGAGCGGTCTCCCTTGAAGGCTGAGTAGCACCCACAGGGCAGAGAGCTGTTACAATGCAGGGAGTGCCAGTGCTGCGGGAAGTCGGAGCTAATGGAGTTGCAATGGGGCCGCCATATTGGCCCCTGCCAAGGGCCCTTTATCAGCAGCACCTCAAGCGTGTTCCTCCAAGGGATTGGCACTTCCTCAGCCAAGTGCTTCTGGAAGAAGGACCTAACTCCTTCAAATTCCCCCCAATGGACATCTGAATGTGTTGCTATTGCCTCCAAGGCGCCTGGCAGGTCTGGTCTGGGGCTTCTGCTCGAACCCTCCCATCCTTCGCAGGGAAGGTGGACTCCCCTTACCCCCTGCTCCCCGCACGCTCCAAGTAAGAGGCAGATACTCACTGCACGCTCTTGGAGGCATCAGCCACGGACACGGTGCTGTCGTGGCTGACCCAGGCCAGGCGGCTTCCACTGGCGGAAAAGCTGACCCCGTGCACCCAGCCACCAGAGCCGCTGCCCCCAAACTCTGACATCAACTGACCAAAAGGCATCTTGCTGCCCCATGGCGTACTGGCTGGCTTTTCATCCACTTCTTTAATGTAGGCAGAGAACACCCTATGGTTTAGAGGGGCAGAGAGAGAGAGAGAGAAACATCCTTGAGAACATGTACGTGAACAGTGGATGACTAGGGGCAGCCAACGCCAGGTCTCCCCCATAACACGGGGGCCCACGCTCAGATACATACATGGAACAGGTCGAGGAACTGCCTACTGGCAGTTCAAGTTCAATAACAGATTCAAGAAGTCCCCGAGTGCCGGGGACTGCTGTAGGCACACTGCTCTTGAGGTGAGGAATACACAAGGCCATCCCTCATGGAGTGCTCATTCAGGGGACAACGTCTTGCCCCATCAGACTTGCAGTGGCTCCTGTCTACTTCACCATCATCCTCAACAGCGCTCAAGGAAGCCACAGGGGCAGTCAGAGGGTAGGAGGGAGGAGGCCATCTGCATCCACAACGACCAGCGGCAGAGGGAGGACCAGAGAGAGAAAGCCACGCAGGCACCGGACCTTGGGGGCAGGGCTGAGTCTCGCCAGGCCTTGACCAGGGCCAGTCGAGCAGCATGGACGGTCTGAGAGGAAGATGGGGGCCTTCCCTGTCTGATGCTGGGGGCCCAAGAACCTCTCTAACAGGCATCTGTGTGTGGATGGTCTGACCCAGAGGAGGGAAGGAGAAGGGGATTCTGCCCAAACCCCCTCTACTACCTCTACTCTGTCCCGCTGCTCTTCTTCAGGAGCTTCTGGACTCAGAAGGCCTCCCTACAAGACGCAGGTATTTTCCCCTCAGGTAACAGTGAGGATGCTGGGGTAGGCCTGGCCCCAGGGGGTGGGGGTAGACACAGGATGATGTGAAGCTGGTGCCTCGTGCTTTCAATCAGCGTGGCAGTGGATGTTCCTCTCTGGCCACGAGAGCTGGTGGTCTGGGGTGAGGTGGGGGGGAGGGGCGATCTTGAGCACCCACGCCACAGGATTAGGAGCGAAACACAAGTTTACTTGTTGAAATCAATTGTAAGTCAAAGAGCTGTAACCTATTTCCACAGCGAGGTTTGCAGACAATTCACAGCCCAGGTGGTAAAGCTTAGCAACCCCTAGTTCCATCTCCCAAGGGCGCGGGAACATTTAAGCAACAGAGAAGCGCCTCTGTCTGAACGTCTCCAGCGATTGGCAGTGTCTTTGCGGTTACAATATACTTTTTCTACCGGAGTTGAACGGACTTCCACTGACTTCCTCCCACAGCGAGTCTGGCTTTGAGGAGGAGAACCAACTGTTTCCCAAGAATGCCTTGACTCTACTGCACCCCTTCCCTATGGCCACATTCCCACACCTTGCTTTGTTTAAGAAAACAACAACAACAACAACAAAAACTCCCTGGTGATTCCTAGGCCTACGCAGGTTTTCTGGAAATTCTTCACATAACCCACTGAAGGGAGTGACAAGCTCAACGCCCACGAGCCCATCTCTGCTTTCCTCCGGCGGAGGGAATGAAGGCCTGCGTGCCTGACTAGGACCAGCTCTCTGAAGCCTGGAGCTGAATGCCTGCATTTCCTCCGTGTCACTGCAAGGTGGGGAATTACTTAACACGGCTCTCCGAGGCTTTGTCACCCCCACCATGATCTTCACTTTCCCGAAGGGGTCTGGGTAAGAAGGTGGGAGGAGATACTGACGGAAGCACAGGATTCAGCAGTGAGACTGGGCACATGGCTAACTGTGATGGCCATCCTGGCTGAGTCTGAAAGGAGGCATGTCAGATGCAGGGAGGGGCATCTCATGGCCAGCAAGGGAAGAGCCTGTCCCTTGGGCAGGCAGTCCCAGAATACAGAATCTCTTGGATCCAAAAGGCAAATTTGATACCACAGGATTGGCAATAGCAGAACCAGGAGCCAGAGCAGATGACTTCACAGCCCACAGAGCAAATCAAGCCAAGTGCTTCAGGGCAGGGGGCAGGTTTGTAGATGGGGTGTCTCTGGCCACTTAATTTGGGAAGCTGGGCTTGCTGACCCACAGAGCTGGAACCGGGTGCCTTCAGGTTGAGGCTTAAAGTTGAGTGGCATGCCTTTTTAGTATCAGCAGCCCCATCAGGGCTTTGCAACATTGCCTGAGCAGGGCAGGTCCAGGCCAGGAGGCTGAGGGCCAGAGAGGCCTGCCTGTGGGCACAGTCGAGAAGAAACCATCCGATTGAACTGTACCCTGAGTATTTCTTGCCTGAATTGTAGCCTGTTAAATTACCAAGTAAACCCATTGTTGTCAACATCACCTATGAGTTCTGTGTGGCTGTTGAAGTGAATTAAAACCCAGCCTCATAAGCAGAGGGTGCTGTGGTAGCTGAGACTCTGCCAACCACAACTAGAGCTTTCGGGACAAAGCTCTGCTGATCTCTATTGCACTCTGATCTCTGACGTGTCTGCAGCCTGGGACTGTCGGTGAGAAGTGATTCTGTCAAGTGGGAAGGAAGGAGTAAGAGGGCGGGGGCCAGAACTTGGGCGAGAACACACACATGCATGCCAACCCTCCAATCTAAATCACCAGTCCAACTAAGGAACACTCCCCGGGCCCTACAGCTCCATGATGGCCCCCTCCTCCTCCCTGGTTCAGCTACTTTCTTAGCCGTTTCCGATTTGAGTCCCTGCCTAGCCCAGCATGCCCTCAGCTCCCACCTGCACTTGAAGTCGCAGGAGCCTGCTGCCAGCAAAACGTTGTTAGGATGCCAGTCCAGGCTGAGGACCGTGGAGCGGATCGGCTTCTTAATATGCTTGCTCACCCACCTAGGAGAGGAGAGAAGCCATCTGAATACAGCTGCACATCAAGCGACAGTTCCCAGACGACCTACGAAGTGTACTGATGGTTCCTAAGTGGCTCCCTGTGAGAAGGCGTCACAGTCACCCTCTCAGGCTTTCACCGTCACATCCCATTGGTGGGTTCTGAACTTTCTCAGCTCCCGAGGGCTCCTCAGCTGGACAATGACTGAGTCTAGAAGAATGGGTGCCTTTGACGAACGGACTGTGGAATGTCCGAAGAAGGACAAGTCTGCCTTGGGAGAAGTACAGCTGGAATGCTACTTAGAAGAGAGGGTAGTGAGCCTTCGTCTCGGAACTCTGCACAGACAGATTCTAGCACTGCCCACGGAGTTTTGGATTACATGCAGCTTTAGCCTTAGATAAGGTTTGAAGTGCTGGAATTTTTAGCGTATTTAGTGACTGGTTAGTTCATTTGGGTTACCTTTAGTTGTTGAAATTGTTCAGACTTCATTAGTCTCTGCAATGCCACAACTC